CCAAGCGACGAAGGCCTCGAAAGCCATGTCCTTGCTCGGAAGGTTAAGGTGCCAAACGTAACGCGTAGCGGCATCGATGAACGTGATGGTGTAGCTGTATGTTCCTTGTCCAGGTTCGCGATTGTACAGGATGTCGCTGTACACTTTCTCAAGTGGTGCGTAAGTTGGTGCGCTGGGGTTGTGGTGAGAAGTGAATGGCCGATGTGGTAAGTCAGCTTCGGGGCAGGTAAAGCACGTTCCACGAGCTCGTCAAAGTTCGCTTCCATCGGTCAAGAGCAGTGAATCTTTGTCGAGTACTCCTGCTCTGATTGTGTTGTTTAACACCGTGTTGCTTGGATGTCCCATTCGTGCGTGCCAGATGTCTTTGCCAGCTCGATGTCCGGGTGAACGACAGTACAAGTCGGAGTTGGAGTAGAAGTTTGCGGTGAAGTTTGGGCTTCGATGTACTTCTCGTGGTGTTGGGTTAAGCTGCTGCGCAGGAGTCGGTGGAGTGTCGTCGATTGGAGCCGATGCAGTTGAAGGACCAGCGATTGGTGTCGATGTTGCCGCTGCTTCTGCCGTTGTTTCTGCTGCTGCCGATGTTGTCTTTGCTGCTGCTGATGTTGTCTCTGCTGCTGCCGATGTTGTCTCTGCTGCTGCCGAGTGTTGAATTGTTGCTAATGCTCTTGTTCGTTCGGCCTCAGGGATGGTGTGCGAGTACCAGAAGCCTTCTGGACTGAAGTCGGGGTCGAGATCCGGTGGATGTGTCCAGGAGGTGAAAGTGACAATCCCGTCGCTGTCAGCGGTGCCAAGATCTGGGACGAAGTCGAGGACGAAGACGTTGTTTTTCAGGACCGCCTTCCCGATGTAGAGACCGCCTTTCCCGTGGTATAACTTGAACTCCTGAGTGGTGCTATCTGCTTCGAGGTGTATGCCCTTCGCCATCAGTTGACTGACACTCAGTAGGTTGTAACCAAGCCCTTCTGCTATTAAAACCTTTGACATCTGCAGTATGACGTTTGTCTCTCGTGACTGAAGTTGCACTACGCCTTGTCGTTGTGTGCGCAGGTTCTGATTGTTGGCGACGGTGATGACGACCTCGCGTTGAAGTTCGTGTTCGCGTTGAACAAAGCGTCCGGAAGAGCACATGTGTTGTCCGCAACAACTATCCAAGAACCAGGTATCCTTTCTAGACGGTTCGCTTTGGGCGATGGCTGTGTACGTTGGGTTTGGTTGCAGCGATTCTTGACGTGTAGTCCTTTCGTCGAGTTGTTCTTCTGGTGAGTAGTACGGCGGCGATTCAGTGATGCGGGAGTCGGTCAATCTTGCCATGCAGCTGACGATGTCCCTTGTTCCTTGTGCAGGTTTTCCTGTTGACGTTGTTGACGTTTGAACTTGAGTGGTGGTATTTGCTTGCGTTGAGGCGACTTGACTGCTTGAAGGTCGAAGTTGCCACTGCGTTGGTACTGACTGTGGTCGGTTAGGGCAGTGTGTGCGGGGATGACCTGACGTCTTGCAGAGATGACAAAACGGAGGTACGGGTTGTTGACCTTGGTACTTGTTTTGCCGATGGTTGTTGTTGTTGTAGCGTCGTTGAGTGTGGAAAGCGAACTCGGACACTGACGTCTTCCTCTTGTGTTTTTCTTCTTGTAGGTCCATGTCTTGCTGTTCGGCGTGAATTTCAGCGCACAATGCTGCTTCGGAGATCTTCCCATGAGCTCGGAGTATGGCGCGAGTGGAGCGCCAATGAGGACCAAGACTGCCAATGACGACTGTGACGAAGGCGTCTTCTGATATCGACCCTCCGCATCGAAGGAGTTTGTCGCGCAATTCGCGACAGCGGCTGATATACGCCATCCCTTTTTCGCCCGGTTTCATTTCCACTGTTGTCAGTTGTGCCATTAACCGAATCTGATTGACGCTGTCTGTTGCCTGATACAGGTTCTTCAGGTGATTGTACGCGAGCTCGGCGGAGTTTCCGTATCCTCGGTAAGACCGAATGTTCTGCTGCTGGTTCGGTGTGACGTTGCGCAGTAGGATTGTATATGCCATCATAGATTGATACGTATACTGCTGTTTGTCGTATTGCGTGCCGTTTGTTGGATATGGCAATGACCCGTTGAAGAAGCCAAGAATCTGCGCGCCTTCCATCATCAGTTCGAATTCGAATGACCAGGTAAAGAAGTCCTTTCCGTTGAATGGTCTTGACGTCTGTAGTTTTAAAACGTGCGCAAACTGCGATTGAACTTGAAGTGCATCTAGTGTCTTCTCTTGCTCAGGTGAAGGCTGCTGGTGCGGCATGAAGCTGACGGAACCGCGCTGAGGTTCGTACGGGGCGAAGGTAGGTTGGTGCTGATTTCCTCGTGCGTAGGATGAACCGTCGAGGCTCATCGGTGTTGCGTTGTTGTTGTTGCTGTTGTTTGACTGTGCAGGTGCCCCTTGCTGGTGTTGTTCGTAGAAGGACATGAAGGAGAAGAATTTCTCCATCATGTCTGGGTCGAAGGCCGCGGCTTGATTTGCGGGAGTTTCTGAAGACGTTGCTCTTGGTCTTGTTGCCGTACCCTCCTCTGTCTGTAGGCCAGAGGCAGGAGGTGGAGTAGGAGTAGTACCGGGAGAGCCGTTAGAGGAGCTTCTTTCCTTCTGCATTGCCATGCCTTGTGATGTTGTGGGTGTCTTGATTGTAGTTGAATTTGTCCTGATAGCTCTCATACCATGTTGGGCTGAGAAAAGCCCTTAGGGTCTTTGCAGGACTAAATTCTGAGTAGGACAATGTAATAGCGGAAGCGTTGAAATAAGAACTTTGTGAACCACCTTGCGCTAGTATGTGAGGGCAAAGTAGATTGATTAAAACAAAGGGATACAAGATTTTATAAGAATACAAGGAATACGAAGAGATACAGTTAATAACCGTTTTGCTGTTGCTGTTGCGGTTCGATACAGTGACGACTCGGGCAACTGCTCAATAGCGAGTCAGTTGTTTGTCCTTGCTGTTGCGCTGTATTTGTCAGGTCAAAAGTCGCTGACCTTTGACTTTCGCATAACCTCCAGCAGTTGTTCAACCTCCGAGGGTTGACTCGCTAATGCTTCGATATGTTTCGCTTCGCTTCTGACTTGGTGTTTCGACACGACAGAGGCGCTAAATCAATTGTTTCCAACACTCCCTATCCTGGCTCTGTAGGTACAACTGGAGATCCTCGAGCCAGCAGTCAAACCTAATCGGGCGCCCCTCCGCGTCAAAGGCAAGGACATTGAGTGTAGCCATCGTTAAAAGCAGAAGTAGCAGTAGTAGCAGCAGCAGCAGCAGCAGCAGCAGAAGCAGCATTGCAGCAGCAAAAACAGATCTGTCAGGAAGCTAGGCAGCACGGCGCGGCTCGGCAGGGCGCCGCGGCTCGGGCGGTGTGGCGCGGCTCGGGCACGGCGGGGCTGTGCGGCGCTGGCAGCAGCAGCAGCCTAGCAGCAGCTGCAGCGCGGGCAGGGCGCGTCTAGGCGGCGCGCTAAGGGCCGCGCGCGGGCTGTGCGGGCAGAGCGCGAGCAGGGCGGGCCTTAGGGGTAGCGCGCGGGCGGTGCCAGCGGCGTGCGGGCAGTGCGCGAGCAGGGCGTGGAGTGCGCGGGCAGGGCGCCGGCAGTGCAGGCAGCGCGCGGGCAAGGCAGGCAGCGCGTGGGCAGGAAACGCAGTGGGCGGGCAGCAGCAGCAGCGTGCGGGCAGCGCAGGCAGTGCACGGGCAGCGCAGGCAGCGTGTGGGCGGGGCGCGCGTAGGCCTAAGGCAGCGCGTGTGAAGGCAGCGCGCGTGAAGGCAGTGCGAGCAGGCCGCTAGCAGGGCAGCGTGCGGGTCGCGTGCTAGGCAGCTGTGAGGGCAGCGCGACGGGCAGGGCAGGCCGTGCAGGGCAGTGCAAGCAGGGCAGGGCAGTACGGAAAGTTCGGGCAGATCGGGCAGTACGGGCAGATCGGAACTATCGGTGGGCCCTAACGAAGCGGTCCTACGGACGGACCCGCTCTGAATACCATGTCAGAAGTAGGAACGTAAGAATGACTAGAATGATGGGCAGTACAGGATTGTATAGCTAACCCTAACCCTAAATTGTTGTACCCTTTAGGGTATGCCCCACTACAGCCTACAAAACAAATACAATTTGACAGATTGTTGCTACAATAAAGCCTTGTTCACTGACGTCATCATTTCTAGTGAAGAGATACACACTAAAACTTGACTCACTACTGTAGCGGTAATGACTTGGTAATTTCTTGAAATGTAAAGCTCTAAAATATTTCCCAACATGCTGCAAGCCAGATGAATACCATAGTCTTAGGGTACATTCCTGTGGGGACACTTGTGTCTCAATCCCCGTTTTCCCGAGTCGCGCCTGTTAATTTTCCCAATGTTGTGTCACAAACATCGAATGTACCGCGATGTAGGGCGACATATTGGCAGGTTCAGTTGGACACGTTTCACTGGCGGGGATCAAAAAGAGATGTACAGGTGTGTGCATTTGACTGGGTGACAGTACACCCGTATTTTCAACCTCCGAGCAGGGGCGTGGTTTCGATGCGCGGGATCTTTTCCCTCGCAAAATTGGCATTTTCGGATGTCCAGGTGCATGTGGTCGTGTCGGGCATTTCGAGTCGCGTGCGATTCTTTAACAATGACGGGTCGTTTCACAATTCGACAGCGATGTCAGCGCGTTTCACGCTGACCAATAATAAATACAGTACAAGTCGCCGAAAGCCGATTCGCATTTGGGACACAACACAGTTTATGTTGTTTTTGGGTGTCACAAAGTGATTGAGACACAAGTGTCCCAAAGGAATGCACCCTTAAAGAGGCCGGGAGAGAACAACACTGTATATTAACACACCCACGGCATTGCTAAAGCCTAGCGTTGCTTCACGTTGCTGATATTCGTCTGTTCAAAAGAGAGTATAGCACAGCTGCCAAAACCCATCCATTGCATATTTCTACATTTCAGTTACGAAACGGACTAGCGGCAAACCAAGCCAAGGTACACCATACCAGCAGATGCCATTAGAATATGAGCTTCTTGAGGATGAGAATGACAAAGAGAGCCAAGACCGCCACTACGAGGACTAGTATGCAGAAAATAAGGGCTGATTGCTTCTGGGTCTTCTCGGCCTGCAAGAAAGAACAGAGGAAAATATGAGAATGCACCGAAAAGAGACGATACCTCGTTAGGAAAACAACGGATTCGGAGAAATAGAAGAATTGAGCATGCTTGCTTGCACTGGAAACACAACTTACTTTCTTCAGCTCCTCAACGCCCTTGTCCACGTTTGCACTGATGTTCTGAATGTTGTAGTCAATCCGGTCAACAATGGTTCCCTGTACACCAGCACAGCATAGCACAGCAACCAAGCAACCGACGAACCTGCATGTCATGTTGATATACCTACGAAGAAAAGCGACACAAAAACATGGGAGTACAAGTGGGAACATCAAGCAATGTGGCATCTGTACACACACCTGATCAATGACGAGGACTGAAATGTCCTTCATGATCTGGGCGAGGTCATGCACCGATTGCACAATCTTTTCCGACGTGGGAAACACACAGGAATGGAACCAAGAGAGGGAGCAAACGGGGTGAGCTGACAAGAAAGCACATGAGCAAGACGCTACTGAGAAAGGGCTGTTCCATTTGAAACGAGGAATGTACAGGCGCATGCGCTCAAGGTCATAGCAATAGAGTATTTCTGACCTATTTTTGACCCATTTTCTTTCTTCATCGGGTAACTTGACATCCTTCTTAAAATGCATCTCACCTCTTGAATCTCTTTCTCCCTCTCGGCTGTCACATTCTCCATTTGCCTCACTCGCAGTAGCTGCCGCTCCTCAAACTCCTGCAAGACAGCCATGTGAACGTTCAGTGCGATGAGCTGATGCTGAGAGTGCCAATTGCAATATGCTGCTAATAATGACTGGATGATGCTGCATCTGATAACTGGATGACGCTCATAATGGTGATGAGATGGTGCTGAAAGGATAATGCTGATATGCTGATTGGGTGATGCTGAATCAGTGCTTATTAGAAATGATGAATGTGGTGCTCTGATGCTGCTAATATTGCTAGTCGCAATATCGCTGATTGGATGGTGCTTGTAATGTGGATTCGAATGGTGCTTAAAATATTGACGATGATCGTGCCCATTGGGTGATGCTCGCTGATTGGACAATGCTGATGAATCGATCCTGACATTGATATAAGATGATGCTGATCCAATGATACTGATGCTGATGGAATGATGCTCACTGGATGATGTATGCTGATAACGAACTCTAACAACAGCTTTAGAGCTGGTGAAGTGAGGTGGGAATGGAGGAGTGGGAAAGCTAGGGGAGGACGAATGATGCGTTTTCGGGGGGGGAGGGGGGGAAGGGTTTCACTACAATTGCGGAGTTACATGGTGAATGACAATGGTGGAAGAGGGAGTTTGAAAGAACAGGCGGGAGGGAGGAGAGGCAGGTGGGAGGTGTTGAAATTAGACGAGGGAGGAGAAACGAGAAGGGCTTACTGGGTCAAAGTAGTCATCATCATCAGTTTGCGTTGCACTGGATGATGCTTCGTGTAGCCTGCCTGATGAACCACCAGCACCAGCACGGCCCAGCACAGCCTGAGATGTACAGTTGCAATGCCACAGACAGGTAATCATAGGAGTGAGTGGCAAGCCAGAAGCACGTGACAAGACATGAGGACAGAGGGAAAGCTAAAGAACGAAGTAATTTGAGTGCAAGTTCCGAATCTTTGTTTGTGAGTCCTCACTCATTGTATTTGAAGAGAGTACATACGTCCACATTTGCTTCAACCAACCAGCAAGTGCGAATGCTCGCACCCAACCAGTGTCTGCCATACAGATACACACCTTTTCTTGAGGCTGCTGTTGCTGCTGCAACCGCCGTAGATACTGCTTTGTCTGTTTGCGGAAATCCATAGAAAGTTGTTGCAAATCCGTGGCCATACATCTCTGATAACAGACAGTGGAAATTTGAATGGGGTGGTGAGGAGAGGGAAGGGAGGAGGAGGAGTGGTAAGTGGAAAAGATTGAAGGGCAACAGACAACCTCTGTGAGCACCTGCGAACAAATGTGATTCATTGTTTATTGTTATTATCTCCAGGTTTAGCAACCAATTCATTTTCAGCATGTTTTAGTTTCGCAAAATACCCTCGCAGCTCACCTGAACGTTGCGCGCAATGGCAGCATTCCCCGCTGACGTCGCTTCTTTTCGCGAAAGCTGCTGCAGCCGCTGCTCGCACGTCTTCAGCGACCGCGTGATTTCCGCCGTGAGAACCTCCATGGTTCTCTCATGCTCGTTCTTCTTCCCCCTCGCATCGTCCGTATCGAACGACGGTAGCAACGCGCGTGCCTGGACCTTCGCCAGCTCACCCATCTTGCCTCTAATCTTTTGCATATCGTCCTTTATCTTGTCCGACACGTCTACCCACACGGGAGGTAGGCGTGGACTTCCCAATCCACCGGAAGCGGCTGGTTGCGAGGTTGTTGCTCCTGACGTCCCTGCCGATAGCCTGAACCAGATCGTGAGCGTAAAAAAAAGAAAAAAAAACAACTGTTTGAACCTATCTTCGGAAAGCTTCTCAGCAGAACATCCCAACAGGAATTGTGTTATAGCATGGTGGAATGGCTGACATCATCTTCCAAATTCAATCAAGAAAAGGATTATCAACACACACATGAGCATACCTTTCTCCAGTGTCTAGCCGAGTTAGTTGTACATAGCCTCCTCCTTTTCTCCCCGTTCCCCATCCCTTTTCCACCTGATCAAGATCGCGAGAGGCTCCGGCGTTTGGTCTAGTTGACTTGAGAGAATCTCGATGCTTTATGAAAACGGCTGTTCGATTTCGTGTCGCCATGTCGGATCGTCACTGGGAATAGTTTCGCAGTGTGTCGGCAAAATTCTATCAGATTTGCTCAGTCGTAACAGCCAAGACTAGTGTCGAACAGAAAATTTTAAACGAGCTTTACGGATAGAGAAGGAACGCGACGACTGAATTACGCCATGTCCCCTCGTCATCTACCTAGCAGCTGCACCTTTGGCTAATCATGCCACGCGAATCAAAGCGCACGACCGTTGAGGGAAGGAGGGATGCTTACACACTTGTCCCACGGCGTCTTTGAAATGGATCTCAGAGCCTACAATCCTCGAGACGGATGGAATAACTAAAATTCTCACCAAACAGCCTGGGAAGTGTAACCTAGGATAATGAAGCTTTGCTGAGATATCTGGTGCTGCTGCCGTGCTCGCTTGAATCCACAACAACCAAGTTTGACTGTCTGACCAACTGACTGCTACCGAATTCGGGTTTGGTTTGGTTGGAGGGAAGCTGCTGCTACGGCGGGACGTCAGGCGAAACGGCGTTGGGAATGACGAGCCACGGCCAGCCAGCATCGCCAACGGAAAGATTCGGCTTCTGGAAGAGGAACACTGTTTAATAAAGCATGTACGCATGATCTTACATTAGTTTTGAGTGGAGTGAAAATGGCTGGAGTACTGAACTATCAGAAACAGGAACTTGTTGCTATGACCAATGCATATTCATCCAAATGACAGTAAACAGGCCCCCAGAAGTCAGAGTTTTTTGTCTGATTTGCTTGTTTTAGTCTGAGATTTCAGATTTTTTTTAGGGTGTACTCAGTAAAATTCAGATTTTTTTTTGCCTCAACTCTGTGAAAATCAGATTTTTTTATAGGCTGACTCTGACGTTTCAGAGTTTTTCGGGAGTGTACTCTGATGAATTCAGAGTACAAACGAGTTCTTGACTGGTGATTCGGACTTCACGGGTCACAGCAGATTCGCACAGTCAACGCAAAATTGCCTTGACACAGCAAATCCGCGCCTTACAGCACGAAAATTTTGCCCAATCATAGCAAAGTCGCCGTCAGAGCACAACAATTTGGCCCAATCACAAAAAATTCGCGTCTGACATTGCAGATTCGCCCTGTCACACCACTAGATTCGCTCTGACAAAAGATTCGCCCAATCACAAGATTCACCCAATCACCACAAGATTCGCGTCTGACATTGCAGATTCGCCGTCAGAGCATGTTCTCCCGAAATCCCCTTAGTCTAGTTTCGGTAACAGTGAATGAAACATTGAATACATTTCTGATGAACATTGAATACATTGATTCCGAATGTTCAGACTTTTTTTATTTAGACACTCTGAAATTCCAGCCTTTTTTAAATACCAACTCTGAGAGTTTCAGAATAAAACTGTGTACTAGTCTGACGAATCAGACAGGCCAAAAACGAATCTGAGGGCCTGACAGTAAAGCACATTTGGAGCATGCAGGCAACAAGTATGCAAGGATCCGAATGCAACCATCAGCCATTATAGCTTATAAAAACTTCTGGACAGCACTGCATTACTGCAACATGCGTCAGGAAGAAAACAAGCCAAACTGTCAGCATAGAGGAATTACACGGAGCACATTTGCATGTGCCACAATACAATTCCGTTTTTTTTTGCTGAAATAACAGCCAGGAAACGGATGCGACAGAGGTCATCCAGTGGGGGTGTCGGGAGGAGGGAGGGTTGTGATGGTGGGTGCAGCGGGGGGAGCGGGGAACGAGGAGTGCTGGTGGTGCTCTGGCCTGTGCTCCACCTCGTAGTCCAGATGCACAAACGCACGCTCTATCTCCGGTAACCGCTCCAGCTTGTTCTGCAGCGACTCGCCTATGTCATGCGTCTCCTGCCAATGGAGAGGGCAGGGGGGGCGAGGACAGGGGGGGCGAGGGAGGGGGATAGCCAGGATGGCCTCGTGGTGGTTCCAGCACAGGTACGTTATCTTCTGCAGGAACTCTGGATTCAACTCCACACCTCACCTCGAGCTGCATGCCTCATCCATCACCCCTCACCTCACCCCAATAACCCTGGGCTCAACCAAAGCAGCATGGTTCACCCCAAGCACCCTATTGGGCTCACCTCGAGAGGCATGTCGCGGGGCAGCACTACATCCACTTCAGTGAAGTAGAGCGTGCCGAAGGTGTAGGCGCGCACGGTGTCGATCGCCAGGATGGCCTCGTGGTGGTTCCAGCACAGGTACGTTATCTTCTGCAGGAACTCTGGCGGCGCCGACCGGCCTGTGAGCGAGTTGACGTTTTCCAAGACGGTGCGGCCCCAGTTGATCATCGTGTACAGGGCGAGCTGAGGGGGAGGAGGGGGGGGGGGGGGGGGGGGGGGGGGGGGGGTGGAGGATAGGCTTGTGATGGTTCCATGTGAGGTTGATGGAAACTCGGCATAATGAGGTGTTGGATGGCAGGGTTGCATGGCAGGAGAGGACAACAGGAAGGCATACCAGAATGGCGCCAACAGGGTCGATCCACCAGGCAACGACCCCTGCAAGAATTGCAGCCGCCAGCCCCACGACGTTTGTCACCACGTCAAAGAAATGGTCCTGCGGACATGCACGGTGGAGGGGTGGTGGAATGGTGGTGACATGGTGAGTTTTGAGTCGACTCAAAAGGCCAGCTGCCAGCCCCACGACGTTGGTCACCACGTCAAAGAAATGGTCATGCAGACATGGTGGGTGGAATGGTGGTTGAATGATGGTGGCATGGGAATGCAGAGCGGATGGAACTGCATGTAGCAGGAGATGGAGAGCCATCCTCAACAGGCAACGAAAAACCCCCCCTGAGAGCGCATGTTACGGCAGCAAGACAGTAACTTTCACAATGTGTGCTATGTCGATTAGAGAATTGCCTGACCTGAGCGTACGATACGACGACTAATGGATTGCCAGACCTGAGCATATGTTATGACAGTTAGTAGGGAAATGCCAGACCTGAGCGTATGTTACGCTGACCAGAGGAAGCCTGACCTGAGCGTATGCAAGGACAATGTCGTTGCCTGTCAAGATGCGGCAGTAGAAGTAGAGGGCCGCCTTGACTGCTTCTGAGGCGCCCCAGAAGTCCCCTGGGCGCATGGCATGTCGGCTAGAGGATCATCTCACCTGAGCGTATGGCACGTCGGCTAGAGGATCATCTCACCTGAGCATATGGCACGTCGACTAGAGGATCATCTCACCTGAGCGTATGGCACGTCGGCTAGAGGATCATCTCACCTGAGCGTATGGCACGTCGGCTAGAGGATCATCTCACCTGAGTGTATGGCACGTCGGCTAGAGGATCATCTCACCTGAGCGTATGGCACGTCGGCTAGAGGATCATCTCACCTGAGCGTATGCGAGGACGATATCGTTGCCTGTGAAGATGCGGCAGTAGATCAGTTTTGTTCGAGATGCCACGTATTGAAACCATGGCACCTACATGGTGTTCTATCGGACTAACCTGAGCGTATGCGAGGACGATGTCGTTGCCTGTGAATCTGCGGCAGTAGAAGTAGAGGGCCGCCTTGACTGCTATAGCGAACAGCATGATCGCCACATACACCTGCCACTTGCTGCCCAGCCCCGCAGGTGCGGACTGAGGGGGGTGGCAGACGCGGGCGGATAGACACAGGGGGGAGGGAGGAGGTGGTGTGAAGATGAGAAAGCAGAAGTAGAGGGTGGTCTTGGCTGCTAAGGCGAACAGCATGATCGCCACATACACCTGCCACTTGCTGCCCAGCCCCACAGGTGCGGACTGAGGGAGAAACGAAAGAGGGGCAGAAAGGCATGAGGAGGGTTGTGAGGAGTGTCAAAAGAAGTAGAGTGCAGTCTTGGCTGCTATGGCGAGCAGCATGATCGCCCCATACACCTGCCACTCGCTGCCCAACCCCATCACGGCAGACTGAGGGGGAAGCAGAGGCGGATACCAGACAGGCAAGGAGAACGGGGGAGGGGAGGAGAAAAGAAGAGGCGAGGTGACTGACTGAAGTGGCAAACACCATTGGCAGCAGCCCATGGGTCACAGCCGCCCATGGGTCACAGCAGAAAGTGACAAGGGGGTTCACACACGGCTCCAATGGGGCTACATGGTACACACCATACGGCGGAAGTTCCCATCGTAGAGTCAGCGAGTTGTGATGATACCTACCACGTGAACAGTAATTCCAACCAAGTCTGTCAGTTATACATTCTTCTGAGATCTCATTTTACCAGTTTCCCCCCAGCTCATACAGTAGGATCTAGCTCATACCGAGTCGGTGAGCCGTCTGACGCCCTCCAGCAGAATCTGGAAGCCGAGAGTGGCCATGATGGACGCGAACACTATGATGCCCTGTGCGGTCACGGGAAGGGAAGAGGTGGGGAATTGGAAGGAGCATGAAGGCAAGGAAAGGAGAGAGACTAGAGGGTTTTAGAGGCGCCTGACGCCCTCCAGAAGCACTTGGAAGCCAAGGTGCAATGCGGTGGAGTGCGGAGCCGCCGTGCAGTGCAATGTGGTGGAATGCGGTGCAGTGCGGTACCACGCGGTGGCATGCGGTGCTCCTGGAACGCACCAGGGGCTGCATGCGGGCCTTGCCGATGGGGTACTTGTAGGGGTTGTGGCGGCGCATGGAGCGGGCGGTGTAACAGAGGATGAAGCCCGACAGCAGGTCCAGCAGCGAGTCCAGCGTTGAGGCAATGATCGACAGACTGCCCGACTCTATGGACGCCGCCACCTGCGTGCAGCGCGGTGCAGAGTGGTGGAGTGGGGTGGAAAGGAGTGCAATGTGGTGGAGTGGAGTGAAAAGATTTGCAACTAAAACAGAGGGATTAGAAATGAAAAGGAAGAGAGAAGGGGTTTGGCTGAGATGAGTGGCGAGCCAATAAACAGTGGCAGGTTGGCAGCAGCCTGAGAGTGTCAACCAGGCTGCCATCGTAACTTGACTATAGGAGATAACAGTGGTGAAGTAGGAAAACATTGTTTTGAGGCGCATCAAGCATAACGCACCTTGGCAATGAAGAGGATGATATTGGCAATGTTTGAAATCTGAATCGCATTCTGAGGCGCCTCATAAGTAGTTTTGAAGTGCCTCAGAAACAAGAATCACGCACCTTGGCAATGAAGAGGACGATATTGGCGATATTTGAGATCTGAATCGCCCAGTGCTCGCCTCGCGCTGTCTTGGATGCTGCCCTCGCCTCCTGTGAAATTCGAGACAAGGGGTTGAGAAGAAGCCTGCATCGGTATGAGGCAGTACAAGTCATTATTGCGGGTCAATTATTGCCTTATTTCGAGGACACTCACTGCAGCAGGGCTCTGCTCTTACCTCAGAACTCTCACTTCACCGCAGCACTGCTCTCACCACAGTAGCAGCGCTCACCGAAGTTGTCCATTTCTCGCAACGCCATAAGCTCTTACTCGAAACTCAACATGACGCTCACCTCAGCGGTGGGGTGCAGCAGGTGCTCACTGAGGGCGTCCATTTCACTGAAGCCGTCAATCATCTCGTTCTGCCGCTGGTAGTACGCGCTTATAGCGTCGTCCGTGCTGGTTACTGACACAAAGCCACGTCGTCGTTTTGATAAGGGAAGGACGTCTGAGTATTTCCACTACTGCTTTTATTCTCTCTAACGAAAAAAAGAGAGCAGTGAAGCGGTTGGAGCTAGTTTAGCAAGCGCAGGAAATGAAACTGCTTGATTTCTAACATGATACCTCGAAGTATGCCCATTCTGCTGGAGCCGCGTTCATCGTAGCGTAAATCCCGCCTGGCAGCGGCGAATTGGCTGTGATCCAGCCGCCATTGCCGTTCCCTCTCTCGCTCGCTCCGCGACCTGTCTAGGAGCTCGGATTCAACGTCTGTTTCTGGTACCGCGCTTGGCGCGACCTGCCTAATCTCCTTGGTTTCGTCGCGCTTTACGTCAGCCGACCGGCGATGCAATCCGTCAGCCGCCACGGAGACGGAAACGTGACGTACTCCGTCACCTCCGGTAATGGTGGAATGATCGGGGGTGGGAGGATCCCCGCCAGAATCGCTGCCTGGAGAGCCCATATTTGATATGACAGATTTGACCAGGAACTTGCAGACTGCTAAATGTATCCGTGGGTAGCACTCAGTTGTTGTGGTAAAGTTCCACCTAGCACTGCAGGCAATCCGTGGGTAGCACTCAGTTGTTTTGGTAAAGTTCCACCAAGCTGTCGGCCAAGGCTTGCACAGCTTTTGCGAGGTCGGTGTTCCCCAGGTTTGTTGTTCAGGTTACCGTATCCCGCCGAAGTCCTCTGATTCGAGAAAAAATTGGCTCGGCAAGTGTGCCATTTCGGCTGCGTTCTGTTGGCGCATTAGTAATGCGCGCACGACGGACAAGTAGTGCGCTCGGAGGCTTCCGCGCAGGAGAGCACCCTCTCAAAATTACCACGAAGGTATGAACCAGGCGCGACGTATCTGCGAGGCAGGCTCCAGGGTTCTTACGTACGGGCAGACCCAAACATTTGAGCTGCATCAGCACGTATGGGCAGGACTGACCCAAAATTTCGAAGTCGCGCAACAAGAGTTGGCACCTGCATCCAACGGCCAAGCACCTCAAAGTCCAATCGCAGGGTTCACAAACTCGCCAAATTTGCCCTTTTCCCGGGCGTTTTCCGCTGCCCCGCACAGCTTGTGCGCCCCTTATCCGCCGTGAGACGGGCGGTTGGGACTCGCACTGCGGGCCTTTTGCCTGTGAAATCAACGTCCTGGAATGTTCCGAGCGCACAGTCAGTTCTGCGTTTTTCTGCACGCATAGGCAATGCGCGCACAACTTCCGCACCAGCGGTTCGGGTCACAATAACGATTTGGTCCAGTTCCAAGCCTTCTCAAGCGCGTTCCTAGAGCATTACTGGTTAGGGTCAACCACAACCCATGCGCCAACAGAACGCAGCCTTCGTCCGCATATGTGTCTAGGAAACAAGACCCTCCGAACCGAACCGAAATAACGAAGCGAAAAAAACCGAACTGAGCTGCATTGAGCACCATCACCTCTTCACCACAGGTTGTGTTTGCACGACAAGTTACTGCTGCACGCGAATTGTCCGTCCTCCTCGCATCAGTCATAGGTTGGTGAAAGCCATGGGCGGGCCGGCCTAGGTGATGAATCCTACCATTTTGTGCTGAGGCATGAGGCTGGTTTGATTTAGAACACGGACCATGTGGTGGGTATCTTAGATCTTGAGCAGCAGCGGTGTAGGAATGATTTCTTCTTAGTCGCCTGTACTTGGATCCCGATTAGCGAGCATGTAATCTGCTGCGAAAACGAAAAAGAGGAAATAGAAATCACGACATTAATTTACGCCACGATGTGGGGAATCACTGGAATGGACGTCACGAAACGCGTCGGAGCGTCGTCTCCGATGCGTCAAGAAGCGAGGCAAAGAAGTTTTTTTAGAAGGGGAGGTGGAGGTGGAGGTGGTAGTGGTGGTGGTGGTGGAGGAGGAGGAGGTATCGGAGGATTCTGCAGCGGATTGATTAAACGGCCTTACTGCTGCTCGCCATTGGTTGCTCTCGTGCTCCTTTGGCTGATCGGCTTTGGCATCTGGAATAGCGGCCTTTTCAGGTAAGTCCGTAGCGACAGGAATTTGGAAGCCTGGAATGAGGGATAACAATCTGGTTAGTTGAGGATTCTACCGACAGTTTATGAAACAGAATCTTGGCTGCTGGACTTATTCAGGGCGACCACTCTAAACATAAATGTGTCATCCGCAAGAAGTTGTCAGCGCTCCTGAAACGTCGCAATGCGATTTAATTCTCGGAGCTGTAACAAGTGTTCTGAACAACCTGTTCTCAATGTTCGATAACGTTCTTTCCGATCGGCACATTCCCCTCCCATTGCTTTTTCTCCAGAAGTCGAAATTCCTCCCCATCTGCTCCTGCTATCGGCGAAGACGATGATCCCTATGCCAGCGGCCAGCCTGGCGACGACGCATGGACGGCAAAGTCAACCAAGACCTCTCAGCCGGCCATCACCGGCACCAATCCCTCTCTTTCTGACGCGTCTGACGACGACGATGACCCCTGGTCTTCCAAAAACACCAATCCTGGTGGTTCGGTGACGTCGCCCAGCCTCAGCAATGCAGGCTCGGAAAGCGATTATGGGGATGGTCTAGGAGGATCGGAAGGATCAGATGCGGCAGGAGGAGTAGCAGGTGGGAAAGATGGCAATATCAATGCTGAAACACCCCAACCAGCGGCTAAGACTGGATGGTTTTCTTGGTTATGGGGTGGTGGGAAGAAGGAGAAGTAAAGCACTGGTACTGCATTAGACGAGGAGGGCGAGGGAGGCGGAACTGGGACAGGCGGGTTTAGACCCGGAAGCGGGCCCGGGATGGGTTTTGGAGAGGCTGGTGAGGATGAGGAAGATGGGGATGGAGGAATGGGAGGGACGACAGGGTGGGGTTCAAAGCTAGCTGGTTCCAGGCCTGGGGGTGGTCGGGCAGGAGGGTTTGGAGGCTTGCCGGCAACGGGAATGGAGGATGATGACGAGGAGAGCGGTGTTACTGGTGTGGGTGGAGGGAGAGGGAGTGCGAAGGGAGGGGCGTTTGGGACTAGAGATGAGGGGTTTGGAAGCCGTACTGGTGGGAGAATGGGTACATTTGGTGGGCGTGGCGGTGCTGTTAAGAGAAAAGGAAGTGCTTTTGTCAGGGATGGGGAGGATGAAGAGGAGGATGGGGAGGGGGGAGCGGGTGGAGGGGCGTTTGGTGGAAGGCTGGGGAGTGCTGGTTCGGGAAAGATGGGCAGGATGGGAAGTGCGGGAGGGAGTGGTGGGTGGGGGGGAAGGGGAGGTGGGCGGAGAGGGGGGGAGGACGAGGAGGAGGAAGGGGAGGAGGGTTTTGGTAGTGCGATTGGGCAGATGAAAGGAAGGGTTGGAGGGTTGGGAGGAAGAGGGGGGGTGAGAGGAGGGCGGGGGAGAGCGAGTGGGGATGATGAGGAGGAAGAGGAGGAGAGGAGCACTCGTGGGGGCAGAACGGGGAGGGAAAAGGGGAACAGGGGGAATGATGAGGATGAGGAGGAGGAGGAGGAGGATGGAGGGGAGGGAAACGCAGAGGAGGAAGAGGACGAGGAGGAGGAAGAGGAGAGTCCTAGGGGCGGAAGAGGGGTGGGGATGAGGAGGAGGAGGAAGAGGAGGGAGAGGAAGGGGACGAGGATGAGAGTGAAGAGGAAGAAGAGGAGGGAGGGGAGGAGGAAGAGGAGGAGGAGGATGAGGAAGGTGGGGGCAGGGCGAAGCGGAAGAAGAAGGGAGGGAAGAAGAAGAAAAGTGGAGGGAAGGGGAAAAGGGCGCGGGGAGGGAAGGATGAGGTGGATGACGCACTGGAAGAATTCGAACAGGCGGCTAAAGAAGCAGAGGGGTTGGTGGCACGACTCGGCAAGAAGAACCCACGTAAGAAGGCGAAAGGGGGAGTTGCAGCAGCAGAGGAGGAAGAAGAGGAGGAGGACGATGAGGAGGAGGCGGAGGAGGAGGAGGCGGGGCGGGGAACGGGGCGTGTGCGGCAGCCCGGGAAGTTGGGGAAGGATGCGGCGAAGAGGAAGGAGGAGGAGCGAGTGGCGAGTATGTTCTATGGGACAAGGGCTGCGGACGAGGCTCCCAGTGTGGAGGACGCGCAGGTGGAAGAGGAGGAGGAGGCGCCGGGGGAGGATGACGAGGGGCTGCTTGATTTCGCCTCGCTGCGCATCCCAGGCACCGGCGTCCGGGGCACCAAGGTGAGAGAGCTGCATTGGGTCTACTGAAAGGAACCCTTTGTTGCTCTCACTGCCTTCGGGGATGGTGGTGAGTGGCTGCAGGATGTTGGCTTGCTGCGGATTCCAGGCACCGGCGTCCGGGGCACCAAGGTGAGAGAGCGGCACTGGGTTTATTGAAGTTTGGAACTCTTCCTTGCTCGCTCTCACCATGCGGGGAGGATGATGAGGGGCATTAGCTCACCTGTGTCATCATCCCTCCCTACCCCCTCAACTAACCATTCCGACCCCCATTATTTCCATCCCCGCCACGACCAGGTGATGGAGGTGGAGAGGCAGCTGGCATGCGTGGCGAGGGAGGGGCGGTGGGCGCTCAACTCTACGCTGTGATGCCTGCCGAAATTCAGCCCCCTCGCTTCGCCCTGACCAGCTCCCCTATGCCATACCTTTGTTTTAACGTCCCTGCCATGCCACGACCAGGTGATGGAGGTGGAGAGGCAGCTGGCATGCGTGGCGAGGGAAGGGCGGTGGGCGCTCAACTCGACGCCTAGATGGCTGCCGTGGGACCTCAATCCGCTGAGAGTGAAGGAGCAGCCCAACTACCGCACCTGCGACATGCTGCATGCCCAGCGGTACCTGCATGAATCTTGATTTATTGTTCCTATGGTAACAAAAAACAGAAACCGTTTTTCATTCCCATGGCTACTCCCACCCCCATCACCCTTAGTCCAGACACCACACTCCACTGTTACCTCTCGTTTTCCTTCCCAGTGGACCGGTTCGATCCTCCGTTTCCATATCCCCTATCTTTCTCCATCCACCTTGCCGCTTTGGAATTGCGTCTCCCTCCCCGCCATTCCCCTTGTCCCTCTCGCGATTCCTCTACTCCTTTCCTTCTGATTCTTCACCGTCTTCTTTCCTCTTCCCCGTCCCTCCTCCTTCCCTCCCTGCTCTTCCTCCACCCGTCCAGAGAGGGCGGCATCTATGGTCTCCAAGCCGAGCGAATCCGCCAGAAGTACTCCCGAACCTCCCGCCGCCGAGGCTCGGCCGCGCCGGACTGGAAGGTTCGGCGGGAGGTGCTGTACGAGTGGCGCAGCAGCGAGCCGGAGCGGTGCCCGTTTGTGCGCTTCGACCGCGAGGGGTTCTGCCGGGCAGTGCGGGGGAGGAACGTGGTGCTGGTGGGGGATGCGTTCAGTTTGGACATGCATGATGCTGTGTTGAATCATCTGGTGACGGCGGCGACCAAGAGAGATGCTGGCCGGCTGGGCGATGGATGGTGAGTGAGGGTGGGTGGGTGGGAGGGAAGGAGATGGGCAAGGGAGGGAGGTGGCCAAGGGAGGGAGGTTGGCGGGAGGTGCTGTACGAGTGGCGCAGCAGCGAGCCGGACCGGTGCCTGTTCATTCGGTTCGACTGCGAGGGGTTCTGCCGGCCGGTGCAGGGGCGGAACGTGGTGCTGGTGGGGGATGCGTTCAGCTTGGACATGCATGATGCGTTCAGCTTGGATATGCATGATGCGGTGCTGAATCATCTGGTCACCGCTGCCACCAAGAGAGATGCTGGTTGGCTGGGCGATGGATGGTGAGTGAGTGAGGGCTGGGGAAGCAAGGGAAGGTAGTGAGGTGGGGTGGGGTGGGGTTGGGTGGGGTGGGGTGGGGTGGGGTGGGGAATGTGTGTGTGTGCTGGCGTGGAGCTGGTGGGAATCTAATATACCGGGCAGTGCAGGGAGGAACGTGGTGCTGGTGGGGGATGCGTTTAGTATGGACATGCATGATTCTGTGCTCAACCATCTGGTCACCGCTGGGACCAAGAGAGATGCCGGCCGGCTGGGTGATGGATGGTGAGAGGCAAGGGAGGGAAGGAGGGAGGGTGGTTGGTAATGGAGGGACGGGGACAACCCATCTTCTGAGCTGCAGGCTGTTGCCTTCAAGCCATCTTCTAAGGCACCTCATAGTTATCCTTCCCCCCCCTCCACATGTGATTTCCAGGGCCTATGTCACGGGGGGCGCATGGCCTGCATTGAGGCAGGCCACCAGCTCTGTTCCTCCCACATCCTTACCTAGGCTCACGTCGCTCACCACTCACCCCTCACCCCCGCCCCCCCGCACAAACTCCTCACTCGATTGCCCCCAGGGCCAATGTCACGGAGGGCGCATGCTTCGAGGCGGGCCACCAGCTATGCACCGACGTGCCCATCACCCCCACCTCCGCTGCTCTCCCCTCCTCCACCGCCTCTGGCTCGTACGGCAAAGGCCCTCCTGACACCACTGGCGCAACAGGAGGGGGGGATAGGCTGGGGGTGGATGAGGAAGGTGGGAGTGCTATCAGTATAGCTGCCGTGCGTGGGAAGGAGCGCAGGAGGCGGGGGAGGAGGCAGGGAGGGGCCAGTCGAGGTCGCGTGCTGCTGTGGGAGTCAGATGGGAGTGAGGAGGAGGACGAGGAAGAAGGGGCGGAGGGGGCAGAAGGAGGGCAAGGAGGGGGAGGAGGGGGGGTTGGGGGAAGGGTACCTCAAGGGAGCTCCAACTTAGGAGAAGAGGGGAATGAGGAGGATGAGGAGGGGGAGGGTAGTGGTGGGGGTAGCAGCAACGGCTGGAGCTCAGGGGGTGCCAGCGCTGGTGGAGGAGGTTCGGGCTCTAATCTGCAGCTGGGGTCCAGGTCTGGGTCAGGCTCGGGGTTAGGTTCGGGCAGAGGTGTGGCAAGGGGTGGGGAAGCATCATCGGTGGGGTTTAACTTGCGGGTGGTGCTGAACCCGTTTCTGACGCCCGACACGGGCCGCCCCATGCGCTACAACACCCGCTGGCTGCGCCGCCTGCGGCGGTGGCGCACGGATATCCTCATCCTCTCCCGCACTGCGCTCTTCAACGATAGTGAGTGCATGCTGGGGCCTTTTCTTTCTTTTTTGGAATGCTATGTCAAGGTGCAAGAGGTGCGGGACACCCTGGAGGTAGTGAGGGAGCTCTACCCAGACATGCTGGTCATCTGGCGCAACTCCCCTGCGGGCCATCCCATGTATCCCCCTTTCCCTCCATCCTTCCTTCCCTGCTTCGCTCCTTTCCGAACACAATGCAGAGGACGTGATGTTGCAGGAGGTGCGGGACACCCTGGAGGCAGTAAGGGAGATGTATCCAGACATGCTCGTCATCTGGCGCAACTCCCCTGCTGGCCACCCCATGTACCCCTTTTTTCCTCCATGTATTCCTCCCTTGTCTTCCCCAGAGGATCTAATGTTGCAAGAGGTGCGGGACACCCTGGAGGCAGTAAGGGAGCTTTATCCAGATATGCTCGTCATCTGGCGCAACTCCCCTGCTGGCCACCCCAGCTGCCACCGCTTCACCCGCCCGCTCAAGCGCCGCCCCAAGCCGCTGCAGCTCAAGGGGCAGCTGCCCGCCACGTGGACGCGGCACGCTGAGATGAACGTTGCCGTGCGGTCTCTGCTCAAGGTGAGTGACTGACCTGCTGTACCAGTGCCAGGTGATGGTTTTAGCAGGGCAGGTGGGTGGGTGACGGCTATAGCAGCTCAAGGGGCAGCTGCTGCCTGCCACGTGGACCCGGCACGCTGAGATGAACGTTGCCGTGCGGTCTCTGCTCAAGGTGAGTGGCAAGGGCCTTAAGTAGGGTAGTAGCAAGCAGTAGCAGGGCAAAGTGAATCGCGGTGACGGCTGTAGGAGCTCAAGGGGCAGCTGCCGGCCACGTGGTCCCATCCCGACACGCCGAGATGAATGAACTGTGCAGTTCAAATCAAACGCATCCTCCATCTCTTCCCCACCCTCTTCCCAGGAGTATTCACAGGAGTACGGAGTGGTGTATCGGGACGCGGATTCAGCCACCACCTCACTGCGCCAGGACGGCCACCACAGACGCCTGTATGGCAGAGTGGACTGCCGCCGCTACTGCTGCTCTTGTTGCCTTCTCTCATCCCTCCCCGTACCATCCTTCCTCTCCCCCCACAGGAGTATGGAGTGGTGTATCTAGATGTGGATTCAGCCACTTCACTACGTCCCGACGGCCATCACAGGCGGATGGATGGCACAGTGGACTGCCGCCACTACTGCATGCCAGGCCCCCTCGACCACTGGGTCTCTCTCCTCTACAACCTGCTCCGCCTTATCGACAACCACTCCCAGCAGCCACAGCAGAACGGGCAGCGAGGGCAGAGAGGGCAGCAAGGGGTATCACCCGAGCCTGTCAGGCCCGGTCTCCTGCCTGTGCGTCCTGAGGGGGAGTCTGAGCCTGGCCGACCACTGGTTGCTGGGGTTGCTGGCGCTGCTGGTGCTGATGCTGGGGATAGTGATAGTGCTGGTGCTGGTGCTGGTGCTGGTGCTGGTGCTGGTGCTGGTGCTGGTGGTGCTGCTGGTGGTGATGGTGATGGTGATGGCGCTGGTGCTGATGGCGCTGGTGCTGATGGCGCTGCTGCTGCTGGCGCTGCTGCTGCTGGTGGTGGCGAAGGAGAAGGAGACAGCAGTAGAGAGGGGGAGGAGAAGGGTGGGAAGGGCGAGGGAGGGGCAGAGGACGAGGGTGGGGCAGGTAGTGGGGGCCGACAGGAGGCGGGGGAAAGTGGGGCTGGAGAGGCGACTGGGGGTGTGGTAGAGGGAGGAAAAGAGGATGTGGTGGCAGGCAGTGGGGAAGGGAGGGAGGCGGGCAGTGGGGAAGCGGGGAAAGTTGCAGGAGCAGAAGCGAAGGAGAGTGATGGGGCTGTTGGGCCTTCAGAGGCAGGTGGGCTCGATACTGGTGACGAGGGGGTCAGGGAGGAGACGGGGAGGAAGGAGGTACCGGAGCAAGGAGCAACAGAGGAAGGGGCATCAGAGAAGGGAGGGGCAGGGGCGGAGCCAGGAGCAGGTGAGCAGAGAGCAGTGAAGGTTGGCACAGGAGCAGGAGGCGAGGAAGGAGGGGCAGTAGGGGTTGCGGATGAAGGGGTGAAGGAGGGAGGGGAGGCTGGTGATGTGAAGCAAACAGAGGGATCAGGAGAGGAAGCAGGGAAGGCAGGGCAAGCAGGAAAGGAAACGGAACAAGTGGCCGGGGGAGCGGAGAGCAAGGATGAAGGGAAGACTGGTGATGGTGCTGCTACTGCTGCTTCTGCCACTGGTGGTGGTGACAGTGGTGGTGCTGCTGCTGCTGGCAGTGGTGATAGCAGCAGTGGCGATGCACAGTCATTCCCTCCTCCAGATGATGCTACGCCTGCTGCTGACGCCACACCTGCTCCTCAAGTCAAAGCACCTGAACCCCTCGGTGAGTAATATGACCCAAGTGTGTGATAGCAGCAGTGGCGATGCACAGTCCTTCCCTCCTCCAGATGATGCTACGCCTGCTGCTGACGCCACACCTGCTCCTCAAGTCAAAGCACCTGAACCCCTCGGTGAGTAATATGACCCAAGTGTGTGATAGCAGCAGTGGCGATGCACAGTCATTCCCTCCTCCAGATGATGCTACGCCTGCTGCTGAAGCCCCGCCTGCTGCTCAGGCCAAGACACCTGAACCTCTTGGTGAGGGATTTGACCCAAGTGGGTGATTGAACCATGCATGCATGTTCCATTCCCTCCTGTGCGTGAAGTGAAAATGGGATGTTACTTGCATGTCCACTTTTCCGTGTGTGGATTGGCATGTCTGGTCCACCAGATGTCCCTTTTCGTTTCTGCTTTTATCTCCTTGCTCTTTTTCTCCCTAGTGAAGTTTATCTCTTGCTCAATCATCCTCTCTTCCCTGCTCTCAGCGCCCTGCAGGAACTACTTGGAGTGCATCCCAGGGACGGCAGTGCGGGGCACACAGGCAGTGGAGCAGACCAACCGTGAGATGGCGTGTCTGGCAAAGGAGGGCCGTTGGATCAAGTTCAACACGCCCCGCTGGCAGCCCTGGAGCAAGGACCCCAACCGCAACCCTCTAGCGCCCCACTATGGCACCTGTGACATTCTGCACCGCAGAAAGTAAGTTTCTGATTTGATTTGAGGTGAACCAATAGCCACTATGGCACGTGTGACATTCTGCACTGCAGAAAGTAAGTCTCTGAGGCGAGTCGAAAGCAAGGACCCCAACCGCAACCCACTTGCTCCCCACTACGGCACGTGTGACATTCTGCACCGTAGAAAGTAAGATTTTATTTTCAAATAGGGAGTAGGCTCTTGATGTGGCTCAAAGTCACAATGGCACCTGTGACATCCTGCATTGCAGAAGGTAAGTACTGTGATTTTCCTGCCTTGATGTTACCACCAACTAGGTATGCTGACCAGATATCTCCCTCTTGCTCGTCTGAGACTCTGTAGCTTTGTGGCATCAAAATGCCCTGTTGGACAGCCCAGTTAAGTCATCGCGTTTCTCGTTCGCCCCCTTACCTCCCCCTCCCACCACCCTGCCCCTCCCATTACAGCAAGGGCGTGTTCGGCAAGGCAGCGGAGGACATCCGGGTGTCAGGCAGGGGTGACTGGAACGTTCGACCAGAGCTGAAGCACACGTGGAAGGCCATCCGCTTCTGCCTGCCACTCAACCGTGGTGTGGGTGGGCGCGTGCAAGGCTACCACAACACATCAACACCTGAGGCCCCTTCCGTACAACCATCAACCAGTTGCTCCTTTCTCTCTCCTCCCCCCCCAACCACCCCTGCTCCCCCTCTTCCTGCCTCTCCCCCTCTTCTCCCCTATCCCCACCTCCTCCCACTTGCAGCAAGGGTGTGTTCGGCAAGGCAGCGGAGGACATCCGGGTTTCAGGAACCGGCGATTGGAACGTTCGACCGGAGCTGAAGCACACGTGGAAGGCGAGCCGCTTCTGCCCTCCGCTCAACGGGTACAACCGCGACAAGTTCTGCCGCGCTATGGGGCGCCGCAACGTGGTGTTTGTGGGCGACCAGTCGCAGCTGGCGCTGCATGATGTGTTCATAAATCATGTGCTCACCATGAAGACTGCTAAGGACATCGGCACCGCTGCTGATGCATGGTGAGAGATCATGTCTTAAACCTGAGTCTGTGGTGACTAGTTGTGTTGATGCGGTAGCTGCGGTTACCATCGCTCTCAGCGCTCAGCGAGGAGAATGTGGTGCGCTCAGACCACGTTCCGGAAAGAATTATCTTCCCCATCGTGCACAACAACCTGCTCTCACCCTGCTTAATCACCAAAGAGCTTCACCAAATACCCCTGTTTTCCGTCTCCCTTTCTGTCTCTTTCTGCATTCACAGGGAGGAGAACGAGATTCCCTTTTGCCATCGCAAGCCACACTTAGTGTGCTCGGACCACGTGCCCTAAAATTCACCTTCCGAGTCGTACACAACAACCTGCTCTCGCCCGACTCAACCACCACGCAGCTTCACCAAACACTCCTTGTTTCCTTCTTTCTTTCTGAACTCCCAGGGAGGAGAATGAGATCCCGTTGTGCCACTGCAAGCCACACGTGGTGTGCTCGGACCACATGCCTGGGGGATTCACCTTCTCGCCCACAACAACCTGCTCTCGCCCGACTCGGCGGACGGCGGCAAGTTTCAACCAGCGCTGGCTGCGCCACCAACAGAAACCCGCTCTCTCAGCCCATGCACAGTCATTATGTAGGCTCACCAAACACCCCTTGTTTTTTTTTTTCCCCTCTGCATCCACACAGGGAGGAGAACGAGATTCCTTTGTGCCACCGCAAGCCACACGTGGTGTGCTCGGACCATGTGCCCGGGGGATTCACCTTCCGAGTCGTGCACAACAACCTGCTCTCGCCTGACTCTGCCGGGGGCGGCAAGTTCAACCAGCGCTGGCTGCGCCACCTCACGGAGTGGAACGCTTCCATTGTCGTCCTCAACAAGGGCTTCGAAAAAAGACCAAGTACCTTGTTTTTTTTTTTGTTTTTTTTTTGTTTTTTTTTTGTTTTTTTTTTTTTTTTTGCCTTGGGTTCTCTTTTAGGGGTTGTGAAATTGTTTCATCCAAGTCCTGGGGTCTAGTTGGACAAGGTCTGCAGTTTTTTCCTTGTCAAGCCAGATGGGGGATTGGTTATTTCCCACCCTTTTGCTTGATCACGTTGCAGTGTTTCCAAGTTGCAATTCTTCCCTACTGCTCACACATTTCGTCTCGCCACACTTCTACGTGTTTTGACTCCTTTCCCCTTATATCTCCCAGCTGCCAAGTACCTGTCCACGCTGCGTGCATCGCTGGCGAAGCTGAGGGAGGTGGCGCCGGACGTGCTGCTGGTGTGGCGCAACACGTGGCGCGGCCACCCCGACTGCGGCAACGCCACGGAGCCGCTCAAGGCCGTGCCGCACAATGAAACCAACGAGAGCCAGTGGAGCTACGTGGTGGAACAGAATGAAGGGGCCAAGGCCATTGTGAAGGTGCGTGAGACATGACAGTGTAGTGTTCTCCTTACTTCATGGCCTTCTTTCCTTGGTGTCATTTCCATTTGACTGCAACATTTGCTGGTTTGGATTTTGTTTTTGACAGGAGTTTGGAGGCCTTTACATTGATCTTGATTGGTCGCTCTCGATGCGCCCCGACGGACACATCAAGAAGCTAGATGGCTCCATGGATTGCTACTACTACTGCTTGCCTGGGCCGCTCGACCACTTCATGCGGCTCTTTTATAACATGCTTCTCTTGCTTGACTCTAAAGCAGCTGCCTCTACGGCTGGGCCTCAACAAACATAAGATATCACTATATATGGATATTGCATTCTTTAGGCATACCGTAGGATATTAGGCATACGTGTACTTTGCTTAAATCAAATCTGACGTGGCGTAGCGCAGATGCGAAGCTTACGTGTCGGTGACGAGGAGCGGATCTTTGCAGCAACCACCTCCCTTGTTCGATTCACTGCTGGCGCCGAGCTCTAGGGGAGTGTGTGGTGCCAGCAATCCCCGCAGCAGCATGAACAGTTTTCTTGAACGTTGCCCAGAACGAGATGGGAAAGGGGGTATTCAGCAGCGTGAGAGTTGGAGTGTGCTTGGCTAACTTTATCCGAGTGGATGGAATATTCGCGCTGGTTTTGCGAAAATATCGGGCGGAAATATTGTATTTATGTTTGCGCTGTCACCCGTCTCGTCGCGTAGCGGTGACGTTCTCTTCGGTCCCCCTCCATCCATCCCGCCCTTGCCCCATTTCCCCCGCTGTCCCCATTTACCCCGCTCGCCCAGTTGACCATGCGCTAATGCTGTACGTCCTCCTTGCCTCTTGTTCCCCGTTCCCCCCCTTTCCCGCATCCATTGTTTCCACTCGCCCCACTCGATCCCGCCAATTGAATGGATCTCCACTTTCACCTCTCCACCACCCTTTGTGCTGTGCCCCCCCCCTCGGGACCTCCGTCCCTTTCGCCCACCCGAATCCCGATCATCTCCCAGATGCCCATTCTTCATGCCATGCAAGGCGCAAGGCGCAATCCCAATATCTTCCCCGACTGTCCCCTCCATCCCCCATTCCCCCTCCCTCCCCTCCCCTCCAACTCAACACCAGGAGAGAGGCAAGTGGCGGCTGTCCCATTCCATACATCCTCTCTTTCGCGCTCATTTCAGATCTCGACGTGTAGGGGAAGGGCAGAGGAGAGGGATCGACAAAGCTCAGCAGGGGGTATATTTCGTTAGTAAGCTTATCGTGTGTGTAGGAAGCGAAGACTCACAGCGGCCGCAACGCACAGCAGTATGGCCGCCCTCGTGGTTCTCCAGTTGCAGGCGCAGTTATGCCTGCCCGGCGCGCCGAGCAGCCGCGCGATTTCCGCGGCGAGATATGCCGCGCAGAGCCGCGAGAGCGTCAGGAGTCGCCGCGTGAGCCTCGCGCCCTGCCCCAGCGCGCGCAGCCGCATTGGCGCTAGCGGGCGCATGGGCGCGGGGAACAGCGCGCTGCACAGCGATGAGCGCTGGCGCAAACTCCTTTCCGCCACCGCGAAGCCGAAATGGGGACATAGTAAGTTGCTCGTTCGACGAAATGGGGACACAGAAGTTACCAGCTTGACGAAATGAGGTAATGTTGGGCCGCAGCAAGGAGTATCGCATGTACGTAAGCAGACGTAAACAGAATCGGACGTTAACGGAAGCAGACGTTAACGGCAGCAGGGATGACGTAACGAAAGCGTAGACGTATTCCGAGAACGCGCCAATGGGGCCAAATACGTTTTGGCAGAATGGGACCGAGCCGTAGTGGGAGCGTAGCGGACTTTACACGGACGAGGCAGGCACTTCTGAGTCAACTCAAAAATGGCGGACAGAGCTGTAGTGGGAGTGTAGTGGACTGTACGCGGACGAGGCAGGCACTCCGCGAGACTTGCTTCGTTCGCTCATGCGTCGTTCGCTCATGTGTCGCGCATGCGTCGTTCATTCATGTGTCTCTCCGGCTGTTCGCTCCGCGTCCATCTGCCGTTCCTTATTTGCGTCGTTCCCCCCCCCCCCCCCCCCCCCCCCCATCCTCTTCCCCCCTTCCCCCCGTCCTCCCCTTCCCCGTGTCCCCACCAGCGTTCAAGCGCACCACGCCCAGATGGACGGCTGCAGTCGTCGTTTGAGTCGACTCAAATCTCCTCCGCACCCCCCCTCCCCCTCCTCCCCTCCCCCCTGTCATCCCCACCAGCGTTCAAGAGAACCACGCCCAGATGGACGGCGGCAGTCGTCCCCTCCACCAAGCCCTCCAAACGGTGCGAATCATGTCGTATCGTATCCTGCCGCACCGTATCGTATTCCAATTCCCTCCCTCCCCCCCCCCTCCCCCTCCCCCTCCCCCTCCCCCTCCCCTTTCCCTCTCCGTTCCCAAACCTCTTTTTTTTTGTCTCGTTTCTTCCAGATCTCTCGCCCTGCTCTCAACCCAGCCCGCATTTACTATTCTCTCTTTTTATCTCTCAAGAGCAAATAAATAACGGCCTGCTTCTGCTGCAGAGGCCATGCACATCTCTCGTTCTCCATATACTCACCAGCAATGCTCACCTCCCTCCCTTCCTTCCTCCCTCCCTTCCTTCCTCCATCCCCCCATCCCTCCCTCTGCATCCCTTCCCCCTCCCTCCTTCCCCCCTCGTTTTCGTGCCTCTATCAGCCAATCGGAGCAGAACCACAGCTCCCACTCTCACAATGATCACAGCCCCAACACCACCAACACCAGCAAGAGCAGCAAGAGCAGCAAGAGCAGGACGATCGCCACAGTGCCGCGCGCACCTTCCGCACCCATCCCCCGCGAGCCAGCCACTCGCCGCCTCTTCGCCAGCTTTTCCAGAATCGGGAGGAAGCGCCCCCTGGTGCGCGTACTGGGGGGGAGCGGGGGGGTGGGGGGACGGGGGGGCGGGGAAGGGGGGGGGGGAAGTGTCGGGGGCTTGGGGGGACCTGGGAAATTTCTGGGGATAAGGGGGAATGGGGGGGTGTCGAGGAGAGAAGAATGGTGGGAAGCGGTGGGGCCTGAGTGGATTGTGGGAGGGTGCTGGTGGTTGGTGTGTGCCAGGGCCCAAGAGTGTGTGTGCCAGGGTGTGAGTCTTTTTCGGGACTGACTTCTGGACGTACGCTTCCCAGCGTCCCAGTTCCCTCTCTACTCTCACCCCCGCCTGCGCCCTCCTCTTTTCATATAACCTGGCATTTTCCTTTCCCTCAATTCTCCCTCTCTTTTCCCTCCCTCTTCCCACCCTTTTCCCTTCCTCCGTCCCGCCCCCATCCGCACGACCAGTGGAAGCAGGCGGGTATGTGGATTGCAGGGGCGGCGACAGCAGCAGTGGGCGTGCAAGTCAGCGTTCAAGTGCTTGAGGTGGGTGTGTGCGTTGACTCGTTTGACTCGTTGACTCGTTGACTCGTTGGACAGGGATGCCGTTCCTGGCGGACCTCGAGGTGCTGGTGGGCACAGGCGTCGCACTCAACTCAACTTCCCCATCGCCCCTTCCTCCTTCCCCCTTCCCCCTTCCCAGCGCTCCCCCTTTTCCGTCCCCCATCTCCCCAGGCGATCGACAAGGTCCCCTTCCTGGCGGATCTGGAAGTGTTGGTGGGCACGGTCGTTGCGCTCAACTTCCCCATCGCCCCTTACCCTTTCCCTCTTCCCCCTTCCCCACGCTCCCCCTCCCCCTTGCCCCTTCCCCCTTCCCCACGCTCCCCCTCCCCATTCCCCCAGGCGCTCGACAAGGTGCCGTTCTTGGCGGACCTCGAGGTGCTGGTGGGCACGGGGGTCGCGCTCAACTTCCCCGTCGCCCCTTCCTCCCCTCACCGCTCTTTCTTGCCTCCCTTTCCCCCCGTTCCCCCGTCTTCCCTATCCCCCGTCCCCCCAGGCGCTCGACAAGGTGCCGTTCCTAGCAGACCTGGAGGTGCTGGTGGGCACGGGCGTGGCGCTCAACTTCCTCTCCTCCTACGTGCGCGGGGGCGAGGGTGAGTGCATGTGCTGCCACGTGGTGGGTGGGTGCATTGAGGGCGGGTGGGTGGGGTTGGAGGGGGGGGGGGGGGGGAGGGGAGAGAGGGGGCTTGAAGGGGGGAGCTTGGGAGAGGGGCCCTGGGTCGGAGTTGTTGGTTGGGAGAACGGGGATGGGGGCATCTCATGCCTTTGGTTCAACACAACATCCTCTCCCTCCCCCCCCTCCCTCCCTCCCCCCCCTCCCTCCCTCCCTCCCTCCCTCCCTCCCTCCCTCCCTCCCTCCCTCCCTCCCTCCCTCCCTCCCTCCTCTCACCCTCCCTCCTCTCACTTTCTCTTTCCCCTCCAGCGCGAGCGCGAGTCCAAGCGAGCATAGACAGCATAGTGGACAGCATCAGAGGCTTCGATTCGCCCACCGACTCTGACCTTCAATTGCAGCTGCAGCAACTCGTGGCCGACACCACCGTCGCTACTCCCTCCCTCGCCTCCGCCTCCTCGTTTTCCGCTTCCTCTTTCTCCGCCTCCTCCGCCTCCTCCGCCTCCTCGTCATCCTCGCCGTCCTTTGCTGCTCGTCTTGCCGCCAAGGGGCTGTTCAAAGCATCAGGCAGCAGCAAGGCAGTGGGAGGGCAGAGGTCAGGCGAGTTGACCTTCGGAGGGAATGGCGGGGAGGGAGAGAGAGGAGGAGTGAGAGGAGAAGGAGAGGAGGTGGTGCTGGTGAAAAAGCAGTCGCTTATCAGCCGGTTGGTGGATTTTGTCCGAGGCAAGGAGGTCAAGACAAAACGTGCCACCCTCGCGCTGCAAGCCGAGGCCGCCCGGTCGCAAGCGCTGCAGTCCCGGGCGGCGGATCTGAACCAGTCACTGCAGGCCAGCAAGCGGGCGGCGCAGGCTGCCGCCCAGAAGCTGGAGGAGCTGCGGGCGGCAAACGGGCGGCTGCAGGCGGAGCGGAGCGAGTCCCGGGGGGCGATGGGTGGACTGCAGCAGGAAGTGGCGTCGCTTTCTGCCGCCCTCGGGAACCTCACGGCTGACACAGACGCTCTGAAGCAGTCAAAGGAGAAGGTGAGAGGAGAGCATAGGCGATGAAAGTTCAGCTGAAAGCCCTCTTCCCACTCTCTCTCCCCCACTCTTCCCGCTGCTCTCCCCATAGGTGAGAGGAAAGCACTCTTCCCGCTGCTCTCTCCCCCACTCTCCACTCCCCCTATTCCATGCCCCCTCATTCCCATTCTCTGTTCCCTCGTTCTTCCCGCCCCCAGCTCGCCTCCAAGGTACAGTCAACAATCACGGAGAATCAATCCCTGCAAGCCAGCCTGGCATCACCGCAAGCCAGCCTGGCATCACCGCAGGCCAGCCTGGCATCAGCAAAATCCCGCCACCAGCAGCAGGTGGCAGCGGCAGAGGCGATGCGCGCCCAGCTGAGAGCCGCCAAGGCCACCCTGGTTTAGCTTTGAGGCCCCTCAGCACTCCCCACTCCCCATTCCCCACTCCCCACTCCCCCATTCCACGTCCCCGTTTTCCCCATGCCCCCCCCATGCCAAATTTCTCCCCCCTTCCTTCCCCTCTTGTCACCCCCCAGCTCGCCTCCAAGGTCCAATCAACAATCACGGAGAACCAGTCACTGCAGGCCAGCCTTTTATCGGCCAAGTCGCGGCAGCAGCAGCAGGTGGCGGCAGCAGAGGCGATGCGCGCCCAGCTGAGGGCCCCTTCCCCACTCCCGACCTCCTATTCCCTTCTTCCCTCCCCACCCCCAGCTCGCCTCCAAGGTACAGTCAACAATTACCGAGAACCAGTCACTGCAGGCCAGCCTTTTATCGGCCAAGTCCCGCCAACAGCAGCAGGTGGCGGCAGCAGAGGCGATGCGCGCCCAGCTGAGGGCAGCTGAGGTTACGCTGGGTGAAAGGGAGGAGGCGCTCAGAAGGGCGCAGGCGGAGAGCGCGCAGGAGAAGACGACATATGCCGCCCGGCTTGAGGGCATGAAGGTGGGTGTGAATGCATGATCAACTGTAGGCTATGCTCGTGTGTGCATGCATGCACGTCACGTCAAAGCGCCCACCCACCCATCCATGCACATCTTTTCTTATTCCCTCTTTCCTTCTTCCCACTTCTCCCCTAATTCTCTACGTGCTTACTCTCTCGCTCTTACCTCGCTTGTTCTGCTTCGCCCCGTGCAGAAGGAGAGGAACGAGGCACAGGCAGAGGTGGTGGTGGTGGAGGCGCGGCTGGCAGCACTGGAAGCAAAACTGCAGCAAGCAGCACAGACCCGGACGGAGATCGTCAAGAAGAACGAACGCAGAGCTCAAAGCACGACTGGAATCTGTTCTGCAGCAAAACCCCTCTTCTCCTCTTCCTCTCTTTCCCGCCTTCCCCTGTCCCGTCTTCCACGCATTCCCTGTTGTTCAATGCAGAAGGAGAGGGACGAGGCACTGGCAGCGGTGGTGGTGGTGGAGGCGCGGCTGGCAGCACTGGAAGCAAAACTGCAGCAAGCAGCACAGACCCGGACGGAGATCTTCAAGAACAACGCAGAGCTCAAAGCGAGACTGGAATCTGTTCTGCAGCAAAACCGCGACCTTGCCACCCAGGCCGCCCGGATGGAGGAGAGCGGGCGGCAGGTTTCGGCGGTGTTTGAGCAAAGGGAGGGCGCGCTGGTGCAGCAGATCAGGAACCGGGAGGCTGAGCTGGCGGCACAGAAGAACCGGGCGGCTGCTGAGCTGGCGGGGGTGGAATCCAGGCTGGAGGGGGAGCTGAGGAAGGCTGAGGAGGAGAAGCTGAAATACATGGAGGCTTGTGATTGGCTGGAGAAGCAGCTTGCTTCTCTCAAGGCCGAGAATGAGACGACGATTGCCGACCTTCGCTCGTCTCTGGCTTTTGCCGAGCAACGGGCCAAGGAGGAGGGTGCTAAAGTGGTTCAGCTGCGCGCTGAGCTGGACAAGCAGACGAAAGACGCCGACCGGCACAAGGCGGCGCTGAAGAAGAAGGTTGCTGAGCTGGAGGGCAAGCTGGGATCCAGCCAATCACAGCTCTCTATTGCCGAGAAGGCTCTTGCCACTGCCACGGCTGCAGCCAATCGCGTGAAGACAGCTGGACTGGCAGGACTGGTGGTGCCGGCTGTAGCGCCTAGTAAGGGGGCAGCTGTAGCAGGAGCAGGAGCAATGGCAGGCAAAGCAGTGACAGAAAAGGAGCAAGGGAGGAAGAGTGGGAAGGCTGTAGTGGTGAGCAAGAAGCAGCAGGAGGAGAAGGAGAGGGAGCAGGAGAGGGGGGGGACGATGAGGGAGGGCGATCTGAAGGTGTATGCACGGGCCATCTTCCCTGCATATGTGGATGTGAGGGGACCGGCCCTGGAACAGACACGAGGAGTCAACGCTCTCGTGCTGGTATGTGCACTCGCTGGGCACTCTACCATCGTGCTGCTATCCTCACTCACTGCCCATTCATCCTCCCCATTGTATGACCCTCATAGGCACTCTCTCTTTCTCTCTCTCCAGTCATCATCGTTCCTGCAGAATTTGGCTTGCTATTTTCCTAGTTCTTCTCCTCTTCCTTCTCCCCATTGTCGATGTTGTTCCCTTTCATCTCCTTATTCTCACCTCTCTTCTCCCTTTTTGGCTCCCCATGCGGCTCCCCATGCGGCTCCCCATTCTTCGCACAGGACATGGTGAGCAAGGGAGCGGAGGAGCAGTGGGCGCGGAAGCATGTGACAGAGGCGCTGCTCAAGCCCGCCCTGGCTGCTGCTGCCACTGCTGCAGCAAAGACAAGCACTGCTGCTGGTGCTGACAAGGCAGGCAAGAAGGTGAGAACGGTTCCCTAGCTTGCTCGCACAAGCACACGCAAAAACGATGGGAGCAGTGGGCGCGGAAGCATGTGACTGAGTCGCTGCTCAAGCCCGCCCTGGCTGCTGCTGCTGCTGCTGCTGCAAGGTCAAGCACTGCTGCCGGCAGTGACAAGGCAGGCAAGAAGGGGAGTGAGAGCAGCTCTCTCCCCCTCCCATAAGCATATGCAAAAATGACGAAAGCACCGTTGAGTCGACTCAAAAGTCGCCTCGCTGCTGCAAGGACAAGCACTGCTGCAAGGACAAGCACTGCTGCAAGGACAAGCACTGCTGCTGGCGCTGACTAGCCAGGGACTACCGGCCGTTCAGGTGACTACCGGCCGTTCAGGTGACTACCGGCCCTTCAGGTGACTACCGACCGTTCAGGTGACTACCGGCCCTTCAGGTGACTACCGGCCGTTCTTTGTTCAACTCTTGCTGCGTGCATCCATTCCGATCCCCTCCTTGCTTCCCCCACCCTCCCCCTCCCCATCTGGCTGTGCTCTCACCCGCACAGGTGAGCAAGGAGGCGTTGCTGTCATATGCGAGGGCCATCCAGCACGCATACATCGACGATTCCATCCCTGTGAAGGAGCAGCAGGCTGGCATGCAGCTTCTCGTGCAGGTGAGGGGTGCTGGAGGGGCTGGGAGGGCTGGGAAGGTTGGTGGTTGTGGTGGGGCTGGTGGGGCTGGTGGGGCTGGTGGGGCTGGTGGGGCTGGTGCGTGGAGTGATGTTGAGGGTCTTATGTGTATCCTTTTTCAGGGTGGGAAGCTGGGGATAATGAAAGGGAAGAGTTGCTCAAGGGGCTAGCAGCAAATGGGCTCGGTACTGCGCGGTGTTGCAATTGGTGTAACTCCTTGTCGCTTGTGTGCTGTATGTGTGTGGGTGTGTGGCATTGCATGGCATGGTGCACAACATGGCATGGCACACACACACACACACACACACACACACACACACACACACACACACACACACACACACACACACACACTGTCTCTCTCTCTTTCACGTGTTCACAGGAGTTGGTGGCGATGGGCGGAGAGGAGGAGTGGGCGCACAGCTTCGTGCATGACTCCATGGCTGCCACGCCTGCCAGCCCGCACAAGTAAATCTTGGATCACACCATCGAGACGCAGCTGAAAGGGAAATGCAATGCCCTTCAAAGGAGGGTTTACCCGAAAGAGATTCCTTCCTAGCGGAGGCCCACCTGTTCCACTTCGACAGCTCCTTCCTTGCGAGCTCCACGACCGAATTCACAGATAGATGAAAGCATTTGCAAGTGATGGGCTCTTGAAGCGCCTCAGAGGGGGACACATTCTCAAGTGAACGACTCTTGAGGCGCGTCAGCAAGGGGCATTGTTCTTATCCGAATGGGAGACTCTTGACGCGGCACAACTGCGGATGCAGGCTCTACTGTTTCGAGCTGATGATTTGGAACTGGGTAGAATGCTGGGGATGGTGTGTGACGGCTGATTGGGTGCAATGCAATGACGTCCATACATGCTGGAGTGTGGCATGGCATGGCATGGCATGGCAGGGCATGGCATGGCATGGCATGGCATGGCATGGCATGGCATGGCATGGCATGGCATGGCATGGCATGGCATGGCATGGCATGGCAGGGCATGGCAGAGTATGGCATGGCAGGACATGGAAAGGCACGCTTGCTTTGGTGTGTTGTGTTGAGTCATCATGCATGGAGCATGCAGTTCAGACACTTGCTAACTCCACCTGCGAGCCTTCTGGGTGGGTTTGCTTTGAAACACGGTTCTGTCTGTACTGCAAGATTTTCTAATTTAATGCGATGAGTGGGTTGTGTGTGTGCCAACATCAAGGAACCTGATCAAGACACCCATACGAGTGGGTGTTGCGAGATGAGTCGATTCTGTACATTCCTCAAGCTGCACGAGTTTTTCCAGCCGCAATCCACTCTTGAGTCTGTCACACCCTCGCGAACTCTAACTCCTGCAAGATGCTCACTTCCACTGGATTTTCTTTTTGAAAATTCTCAAAAATCACCCTCACTTTTGAGTCGACTCAGAAGTCACCTCCTCACGCACCCGACCCGAACTCCTGCAAGAAGCTCACTTCCTCTGGATTTTTTTAACAGCACTCCAGTTCTCCCGAAAAAAACACAATCACGATGGCATGATCCTGTATTGTATTACAGTTGTGCATCTGCTTGGCGCAGCTCCCTAGCTTTCTAGTGTCCCTTCTTCCTAACCTTGATTCACAGCCCTAGTGTTATTCTAGTCCTGTGCTGACGCCTCGCTCACTTCACTGCCCCTACTGCTGAACCACACCGTACGACACCTCGCAGCACCGCATCTTGCCTCCTCGCACCGCACCTCACTCCCTCTTCTCCACCAGAAACAGCCCCCAAGCCTGGTCCCCGTTCCTCACTCGCTTCATCTTGGCCGTCCATCCCGCCAGCAGCTGCTCATCCTTAGTCGACTTGTTGGCATTATGTTCAGCGTGAAGGGGGTGGGGATGGGACAGGCGAAGACAGGCGATACAGTATATGTTGCGATTGAAGAAGCAATACATTCGGAATATGAAGCCAATTGCTAGCAGATCCTGTTTTGAGTCGGCTCAAAACATGTTTCGCTGGAACATGTCTCAGGATCTACTAACTAATACATTTGGAAGACGAAGACATGAGATGAGGCCAAGGAAATATCTACCCGAACAAAGTACGGGACAGCCCAGATTCTAGCTACAGTAATATACGTGAAGAGCATCTTTTGCGTTGTGTGTCGGCTCGGGAATACCGTAAAGCCGAGTTTTTAGTCGACTCAGAACGCGTCAGATCAGAGATACCTAAAGGCGATGGATGGAAATGAAGGCGAGGTGAGTATAAGGGGGTGACAGAAATGCACCGATGCTGATGGCTGTGTGCTGCTGGTGTCTGAGAGCAGACGAGCCTTCTCCTCCTCCAGGATACCAAGGAACTGAGCAGCGGTGGGCGTTAGGGGCGAAGGGGGCCATGATGGCAGGTGGGGAGGGGTGGGAAGGGGTGTATCGGAAGGGAGGGAGGAGGGACGATGATGGCTGTGTGCTGCTGGTGTCAGAGAGCAGGCGAGCCTTCTAAAGAGGGCATGAGAAGGAAAGTGGGGGGGAGGGGGTGTAAAAGAGGGGAGGGAGGAGGGAAGATGATGGCTGTGTGCTGCTGGTGTCTTTTCCTCCTCCTGGGGCGTGAGCGGGAAAACGAGTCTTCTCGTCCTCCAGGAAGGGAACAGAGGTGAGCATCAGGGGGAACGGGACAAGGAGAGAAAGGGGAAGAAGTTGGGGATGGGGGCGGAGGAAGAAAGGGGGGGTTAAGGAGAGGGGTGGGGAAGGAGGGATGTGGGAGGTGGTGGTTCTTGTGTTACTTGATTGAGAACTTTCCATATTAGCTATGGCAGGATGGATGAACGCAATAAACGAACGCAGAAGGTGAGAGCAGGCAGGCAGCAAACAAGTACCTGCAGCAAGCAGAAAAAATGCAAGCATCCTGGTCTTTCTGGCCTGTGACAGATGACCCAACTAAGCTGCATCTCACTTTTGAGAATTCTCACCAAGACACTAAGTCACTCCAAGACAGATGACCCAACTAAGCTGCATCTCACCGGCTGTGATCGGTCTTCGGCCTTGAGCACGTGGAATCCAGCTGCCTGGAGCATCTGCCGGGGCATGGGGGCAGGCAGACGAGCATGCAAAGTCATTTACTTTCTTTCGACATCTCACTCACTGCAAAGCATGCATGGGGCGTGTGACTGCAAAGCATGCATGGGGCGTGTCACTGCATGGGAAGAACACGCCTTTGTCTGACCAGTCAAGCTTACCTCACTGTAGCGCCTGACGGTGACCAGGTGGTAACCGCGTTGCGCCACGTAACACCTGAACTCCTCCGACCACTCCTCGGGCTTGTCCTTTCCGCTACAGTAGTCCGTGATCAACACTCTGCCGCCCGGTTTCAGCCAGCGGTGGAAACGGGCGAACAGGAATGGTTTGTCCTGTAGTGGGGTATGGTGTGGGTGGCATGTATTGAGGCATGGTGTGGGAGACATGTAGTGGGGTATGGTGTGGGTGGCATGTATTGAGGCATGGTGTGGGAGACATGTAGTGGGGTATGGTGTGGGTGGCATGTATTGAGGCATGGTGTGGGAGACATGTAGTGGGGTATGGTGTGGGTGGCATGTATTGAGGCATGGTGTGGGAGACATGTAGTGGGGTATGGTGTGGGTGGCATGTATTGAGGCATGGTGTGGGAGACAGGTAGTGGGGTATGGTGTGGTTGGCATGTATTGAGGCATGGTGTGGGAGACATGTAGTGGGGTATGGTGTGGTTGGCATGTATTGAGGCATGGTGTGGGAGACATGTAGTGGGGTATGGTGTGGGTGGCATGTATTGAGGCACGGTGTGGGAGACATGTAGTGGGGTATGGTGTGGGTGGCATGTATTGAGGCATGGTGTGGGAGACATGTAGTGGGGTATAGTGTGGGTGGCATGTATTGAGGCATGGTGTGGGAGACAGGTAGTGGGGTATGGTGTGGTTGGCATGTATTGAGGCACGGTGTGGGAGACATGTAGTGGGGTATGGTGTGGGTGGCATGTATTGAGGCATGGTGTGGGAGACATGTAGTGGGGTATGGTGTGGGTGGCATGTATTGAGGCATGGTGTGGGAGACATGTAGTGGGGTATGGTGTGGGTGGCATGTATTGAGGCATGGTGTGGGAGACATGTAGTGGGGTATGGTGTGGGTGGCATGTATTGAGGCATGGTGTGGGAGACATGTAGTGGGGTATGGTGTGGGTGGCATGTATTGAGGCATGGTGTGGGAGACATGTAGTGGGGTATGGTGTGGGTGGCATGTATTGAGGCATGGTGTGGGAGACATGTAGTGGGGTATGGTGTGGGTGGCATGTATTGAGGCATGGTGTGGGAGACAGGTAGTGGGGTGTATGACACCTTATCAGGGATAGACAGCAACCATAGAAACACACTGGTGTTCAACTGTTGGACGTTTTGAGACGTCTCAAAACAACACTTTTATCACATGGAGACGTGTAGTGGAGTATGTGACACCTTAGCATGGATAGACAGAGGTGACTTTTGAGTCGACTCGAAAATTCACCTCTGAATATGACACCTTAGCATGGATAGACAGCAACCATAGAAACACACTGGTGTACAACTGGTCGAACGACTCAAAGTCTCCATTCGGCTCAGATCTTTTCGTGGACTCAATTTTTTCTGTTGACGCAAATATTAGACGACTGGCTAAAGCTGCATAACCCCGGCTTGCCTGGATGTGCAGCAGGGTGTCGCGGGTGTAGATGCAGTCAAAGGAAGCATCGGGGAAGTCTCTGGTCAGGCAGTCAGCCACTTCGAACTGCAACACGGGCACGGATGCTGACGTGGAGGTTGGCGCTGATGTGGCATCCGCAGCACGGATGTTGCGGGATCGCTCGATGGCAAGAGAGATCTGGTAGAGCGGGTGGGAGAAAAGCTCGGCGAGGGAGAGGAAGCATATTGGGATTGAGAGAAGGGGAGATAGGGGGTTATGGGGGGGAGGAGGAGGAAGAACACTGGGATTGACCAGGGGATTGACCAGGGGATTGACCAGGGGATTGACCAGGGGATTGACCAGGGGATTGACCAGGGGATCGGCCAGAAGGGCTACATGCAAAAGGACATGTTTGCGTGGTGGGTCAGCACATCCATGACCTCCCAAACAATTTTGCTTCTAGCACTTACGGCCGAACCCAAGGCCGATCCCAGAGTTCTTTCCACAATCAAAGCCTTGTTTTTCTCCCCTAGGTGCGGAGCGATGGCTGCAGAGGCAACAGAGTGATAGACGACTGAAGATGTAGCAGCATTGCATGGTGGTAGTGAACCGTGAAGGGAGAATGAAGCAGAAGAGACCGTACTGTTTGGGCTTCGTAGCAGATGTGTGGGTAGATTTGTGTGTGTGTATGTGTGTGTGTATGTATGTGTATGTGTATGTGTGTGTGTATGTATGTGTGTGTGTGTGTGTGTGTGTGTGTGTGCAGATGTGCAAGTGTATGTGCATGGATGTGGGAGAGAGGTCGATGGCATGCACGCTAGCGCCATAGGTCTCAGCCATGAGCAGAGCGCTGCCTCCCAGCCCACGCCCCCTCATGTCTGTGTGTATGCGTGTGTGTGCAACCGTATGTGCATGTGTTTGTAAGCTTGTGAAAGGCGCATTACCATGGTAGGAGAGAGGTCGATGGCATGCACGCTAGCGCCATAGGTTTCAGCCATGAACAGAGCGCTGCCTCCCAGCCCACACCCCACATCCAGCACTTGGTGCTTGGGGGTGAGCGAGAGCAGCGGCAGGAGAGCGAGCGTTGATGCTGTAGGGGTGGCAGGGAGGCAGCGAATTTAGGCAGAGTGAAAGTAGAGAACGAAAGGTTGGGAATGAGGTGATGGGATGGACGAGAAGGGGCGGCGGGGCACTTTCATGGCTTTGGAGATCTGGACGAGGAAATGGCGATGAGGGAAGAGTGGAGCATGTGCTAGACTCAGCGACGAGGAGAAAGACCACTGTCAATCCCCCGTTGACTTTGTTGACTCCCGTTGACCCCCCACCCTTAACTCACCACGACCGCCAGTGCTGACGAAGCCACGCCCGTAGATGTGCTCATAGCGCAGTATGCCCTCCAAGCTGTACTGCTGCTGCTCCTCCCTCTCCTCCTGCTCCTCCCTTTCCCCCTTCCCCTTGCTCTCTGACCCCTTGCTATGGATAGACCGCGGTTCCTCCTGGGTGGTGTGCGGTTCCTTGTGAGTGCTGTGAAGCACCTTCTGCCACACCCAGCACACCTGTGTCTGGCACCCCTTCACCTGTGAGTATGCTGCAACGCTCCTCATCTCCCGCAGGCTGAACCTCCACTCCCCTCCCTGATCTTGTTGTTGCCCCCCATTCCGCTGCTGCCCTTGCTGCTCCTGCCCCCGCTGCTGCTGCTGCTGCTGCTGCTGCTGCTTCTTCTTGTGGATTTGGTGATGCACTTCAGAAAAGGCCTGGAGTGAGAAGAATGGTGGAGAGGCATGTGCGATACGGGTTAAAACATTCATGTGCAGAGAATAGAATATGATGGGGTTAGATTTATTAAAAAAAACACCAAAAGTGGCGTTTGTGGGCGGGGTTGGAGCAATAGGAGCGGTAGGCATAAAGTCAGTACAAGAGGGGATGAACTGGGGAGAAGACTTAAAGCCCACCTGACAGTAGAAGAGCGGGTGGCGGTAGTGGGTGGGGTTGGAGCGGCGCTGCTGGCTGCCAGACTGCTCGAGACACGACTCTCGGAAAAAGAAGAGCCCCCCGGGGGGCAGGGCACGGAGCAGCAGCTTTGCTAATGAGTGCACCTGTGAGTGGTTGGGGAAAAAGAAGAGGGGGAGAGGTTTGGGGGGGAGCGGCGCTGCTGGCTGCCTGACTGCTCAAGACACGACTCTCGAAAGAAAAAGAGGCCCCCGGGGGGCAGGGCACGCAGGAGGACCCGTGCCAATGTGTGCACCTGTGGATGGGTGGTTTAGATAGGGGGACGGGGGGGGGGGGGGGGGGGGGGAAGAAGCACGGGGTAAGGGCTAATGGGAGTGGTGGCTGCCAGAATGCTGGAGGCAGGACTATTGGAAAAGGAATAGGCCCCTGGGGGGCAGGGCGCGCAGCAGGATCAATGCTTGCATCAATGCTCGCATCAATGCTCGCATCAATGCTCGCATCAATGCTTGCATCAATGAGTGTTTGGGGGGAGGGGATGAGTGGGAGGCGGAAGCGTTGGTGCGGGTTAAGGAAGGGGAAGGTGGAAGGCGAGTCAGGAATGAGTGGGATGAGGGAGGTGGAGGTTGGGGAAGAGGAGAGCGGGGCTGGGGGGCGGAGCAGCAGAAGATACGTTAGCCAAGAGAGGTGGGCGAGTCAAGGGACTCTTCAAGAGACTCTTCAAGAGACTCTTTAAGGGACTCAAGCGAGATAGAAACAGTCTTTTCGCGTTGAATCCCGGGAACCGTGGGTTTTGAGAGACCCGTACCTCGGAGTCCGAGAGGTACATGACCAGCCAATTGGAGAACACCAGGTCCGGCGCCAGCCTAGTCAGCAGGGCGGCTGACGTGGCATCTGCCACGTCAGCACAGACGAAGTCCACGTTGGGGTGCTGTCTCGCATGTGCTCGCACGTTCTGTCATCAGCGGGGTTTGTGGGGAAGGGGGAAGTGAGTTGTAGCTCGATGCAGTCCATCAGGTCAACGCAGTCAACGCAGTCAACACAGCCAACACAGTCAAAATCTGGTAATGCAAGCTTTGCGCCCTGCGTGCAGCGAAGAAATCCTTGAGACAGCTCAAAAGAAAAACAAACGGGACTGACCGCAGCAAGGGCGTGCGGCAGGAAGTCAAGGGCAGTGAGCCACGTGGCCCTGCATGCCAGGTCAGCAGTGAATCGGCCAATGCCCGCGCCCAGCTCCACCACCAGCTTGGGTCGCTCCATTGGTGGCGTGAGACCGTCAATGATACTCAGTATCTGGGGAGGAAAGAGGCAGGATACAGGGCAGAAAGGTCAGGACAGTAAGGGCAGGAGCATACATGAGTCACCGGAGTCAAGCAAGTCAAAGCTCACCTCGGGGCGTTCAAGGGAGTCAAGCAAGTCAGCCTGAGCATCCAGCATCATGGATGCCACTGACATGACAGCTGGCTGCTTCTCTCCGCCGCCCTGGTCAACGGAGTCGACGCAGTCAACTCGGTCAATTAAATCAATGTGGTCACAGTGGCCATTCCCATCAGCGAATACTCCTTCCCCGTCCGTTGGTGCCGCTGCCACGCCATTGCCATTCGTGTGCTTGCCGTTTTCATCTGATCCTGAGCCTGTGATTTCAGGGACAGTGGTGATGATTTTGGCCCAGACATGCGTGGGATCCTGGACGTTGAAAATCTTGGTCTTCAGATCGTGGCAGTTTGTAGTAGTGTGCTGAGGAGAGGGGCTCTCCACTGTTGGATTGCTATCGTTTGTAGCGTCATTGCCATTGCCACTGCTGATCTCCCGCCAGTACTGCGCCTGCGTGATTAGTTCCACTGAAAGACAGGAAAGAATCGGTGGAGGAAGAGGGGGAGCTGATATGTCTCAAAACATCAGAAGATGTTTTATTGAACACATGACCGTTATGGAATAATTAAAGTTTGGGCTGGTGAACTACCCTTGAAAAGAAGATGAGCTATTTCAATATCGCGTGCACAAACTAGACGTAAGCCATCATCAGTGTGGCGTAGGGAGAAACAGGCGGGCAGCACTCAATTTGTGAGACGTACTCGGATGAAAAGGCCGATGGAATTCAGCCTCAGCTGCAGGGTTGATTGAGCTGGAAGAAATCCTTCCAGAATGGCAAGATCGAATTCTGATGTGTGTTGGGAGCTACTAGACTCAGTTTGGTATCTGAGTGCAGTTTGGTGTGTCTATCAAGATAAAGAGTGATACAATCAGCGTGAGTACCAATGCATGACCTTTCTTCCTGCTGGTTCTCGGGCAGATTGGCGTTGGTTGATGCCGTTCCAGCAGCAGCAGCTGCTGCTGGTGTTACTGGCAATGGTGGTATGACAATGTTGGTATTGGTGGTGTTTTCTTGTGACTGGCGGTCAAGCACTGGCGTTGCTTTCTAGGCTCAAATTCCATTCCTACCTCCCAATTCAATTTTGTGACATTTGCGATTCGTGGCAAAGCGCGGTTCGGTTATTCCAAGAACAGCAAACAGCACAAACACGTGTTTTCTTTCGTTATTAGCGCCATCGACACCATAATAGTTTTGTCTCTTATAAACATAAAGTTCATACTGTTATCACCCCACGACTTACTGGGGCCCCGAATCTCGCACTCCGTCCAGACTTCTGGAGTGTACTTCCCACGTGGCATGCTTTCTCGTGCCAGAAACCTACTTGCAGCCAATCTGCGGTGAGAACACTCCCAATTCTCCGCTGATGTCCTGCGTGGAACTGCTGGGCGCTCGAGATTCTCATTCCGACCTGGAATAACTACAGTGAATCTCACATCACAAATACAGTACACTGAACAGCTGATCTGACAACACATAACCGTAGGAAACGTAGGAAATGATTCTCAGTCTGGCCTCCTCTTGAACGTTTTCAAGAAAGAGGTCCTTCCAGCCAGTGGTTTCTCATTTTCCGCATCACAGGATCTCCGCTTCTTCAGTTCTAAGCCATCTCCGCGGCCTTCTTCCTTCCTAATCGCCTCCCGTACCACCGCCTCATCTCTCGTCCCTTCCACCCCGCATCGCTTCATCACATCCTTCCCCTACACTTCATCTCCGCTAAAATGGCCTTCCTGAAGAATGCGATCCCTCTTGCTCGCCGAGCCCTGTCCTCCGCGTCAGGCTCGGCACAACCTCGGAAGGTGGCAGTTCTGGGTGCTGGCGGCGGCATCGGGCAGCCTCTGAGTCTTCTGATGAAGTCGAGCCCGCTTGTAACGGATCTGTCGCTGTACGATGTGGCGGGTACCCACGGTGTTGCTGCTGACATCAGCCACATCTGCTCCAACGCCAAGGTGAGGCTGAAAGATCGGTAGAAGATGTATCGGTAGACAGATCAAGCTGCAAGGTTTTACCTTTTGATCCAGATGATTCCCCCGCGATTCGATTTTCATGAACCTGATGGTCGTTAGCAGGTACAATCAAACTCAATACTCGTTGTCCTCTTTATATATATATATCCCGATAAACAGGCGAAGGGCTATCTCGGCAGCGACGAGCTTGCCGGAGCCCTGGAGGGCAGCGATCTGGTGCTGATCCCCGCTGGCGTGCCACGTAAGCCCGGCATGACCCGGCAAGATCTGTTCAACATCAACGCTGGCATCGTGAAGGGCCTGTGCGAAGCCATCTCCAAGCACTGCCCCACGGTAAGATCTAGCTTTGGCCGGAAACGCATTAACGCTCGGTAAGATCTAGGTCCTTTTCAAATCACTAGGATAGAGAGCCGGCATCGTGAAGGGCTTGTGCGAAGCCATCTTCAAGCACTGCCCAACGGTAAGATCTAGGTGCATTCTCGGCCTCATTTGAGCTTGATAGTGTGTTTTAGCGAGTCCACAGTAAGCCATGTTTTTTCGTCGAAGCCACCTTCATGCACTGCCGCACGGGAAGGTGTGATGTCCACTGAGGGCGGTTTAAGTCACACTGAGGTAAGTGATGTCCATGTGTGTACTAAGACGCATGAACGATCGGTGAAGTGTGTTACAAATGGAGGTATCACTCGGTAATATCTAGGTGTGGTTCGAGTCGCACTTACGCTCGGAGAGATTCGGCTGTTCTGGGTCGCACCAACGGTCGATAATATCCATGTGGTGGTGGTTTGAGCCGCATGAACGCTCGGCTCGATCTAGGTACGGTTTATGACACATTAACGCGCGGGAAGTAAGTCGCGTTAGCGCGCGGTCAGATTACGCGCTGTAACTCACTGCGATTCTCCCCTACCGTTGCAGGCGGCGGTGGGCATGATCAGCAACCCCGTGAACTCGACCGTGCCCATCGCGGCCGAGTTGTTCGGCAAGGCGGGCAGTGCCGCCCCTCACTCAGTTACGCAATACACACTCACCCGTACCACTGTTCCCCATGTCATCTTGCTTGTTTGCAGGCGGCAGTGGGCATGATCAGTAACCCCGTGAACTCGACCGTGCCCATCGCGGCCGAGTTGTTCGGCAAGGCGGGCAGTGCCGCCCCTCACTCAGTTACGCAATACACACTCACCCGTACCACTGTTCCCCATGTCATCTTGCTTGTTTGCAGGCGGCAGTGGGCATGATCAGCAACCCCGTGAACTCCACCGTGCCCATCGCGGCGGAGGTGTTCGGCAAGGCCGGCACGTACGACCCCAAGAAGCTGTTCGGCATCACCACGCTGGACATTGTCCGCGCGCGCACCTTCTACGCCGAGGCCAAGGGGCTCAACGCGGAAGGTGAGGGGAATGCGCCACAAGGGTGTGTTTCGGAAGGTAGGGGGAACGAGGAACTGGGTTGGTTTGCTGGAGGTGAGGGGAATGGGCGATTGGGATGCTACTGAGTGGACCCCGCAATCCTCAAGAAGCTGTTCGGCATCACCACCCTTGACATCGTCCGCGCGCGCACCTTCTACGCCCAGGCCAAGGGTCTCAACGCGGAAGGTGAGGGAGAGGAGAATGCGCCAATGGGCGCAACACGGGTGGGGGGAAAGCGCCAATGGGCGTTACACGGGTGGGGGGACAGCGCCAATGGGCGCAACACGGGTGGGGGAAAGCGCCAATGGGCGCAACACGGGTGGGGGGAAAGCGCGAATGGGCGCAATACGCGTGGGGGGAATGCGCCAATGGGCGCAACACGGGTGGCGGGAAAGCGCCAATGGGCGCAACACGGGTGGGGGGAATGCGCCAGTATGGTGGGGTGCTGAAGTTGGCGGGAATCTGGGGTGGGTTGCGCCTGAGAAGCTGACGAGAGGATACCAGTGGTGGGCGGCCACGCTGGCGCCACCATCACCACTCACGCACTCGCTTACTCACATGCTCTGTTCCCGCGTCCGTTCCTTTTGCCTCCGTTTGTGCGTGTGCCACAGATGTGAGGATACCGGTGGTGGGCGGCCACGCTGGCACCACCATCATTCCACTCTTTTCCCAGGTCAGTCCAACGTGCCCAAAACTGACTTTTGAGTCGACTTTTGAGTTCGAGTCGACTCAAAAGTCTTCTCCCAGGTCAGTCCAACGTGCTCAAAACTGCATATGTGATTAATGAGTCAACTCAAAACTAACGTCTCGAGCTCTGCGGAGGTGTTTCGGTAAGTGTGTGTTTTCGAGACGACTGAAATTTGACTCGTGCTCTTCTCTCAGGTCAGTTCCCGCATCTCCGAAACTGCTAGTGTGCTGTCCACGATCCTGTCCTTCTCTCGCCCACCCCGCTCGCAAACCTTTCCAACCCCTCTCATCCACCCCTCTTACCCTCTCTCACCCACCTCTCCACCTTTCCCGTTCCTGCAGGCGACGCCCTTCGTGGAGCTGTCGAACGAGGAGAGGGATCAGCTCACCTAGCGCACTCAGGACGGAGGCACCGAGGTGGTCCCCTCTCTCACCGCTCCATACTCCTCTCTTCCCCCCCGCACTCCTCTCTCTCCCAGGCAACGCCCTTCGTGGAGCTGTCAGACGAGGAGAGGGATCAGCTGACCAAGCGCACTCAGGACGGAGGCACGGAGGTGGTGCAGGCCAAGGCGGGCAAGGGCTCCGCCACGCTCTCCATGGCGTGAGTGCCTGTCCCTGTCTCTTGCTCTCTTCCTCTTCCGTCTGTCTGGGTGCTGATATGTACCTGAGGCACAAACATAGGGAGGCACGGAGGTGGTGCAGGCCAAGGTGGGCAAGGGCTCCGCCACGCTCTCCATGGCGTGAGTGCCGCCCCCTCTTCTGTGTGCCACTCTTTCTCTGTCACATTTGACGTGCGGGGAACAACTTGAAGTGCTCGGGAATAAGTGATGAAAGGGCATGGGTGTTACAGCCCCTCTCTGTTCCCACATCCCGTTCCGTACCTACACTTAGTGTTCCTTTCGTGTTTTTCTGTACTCTCACACCACTCAACCCCCTGCGTTCCACTCCCTTCCCCACCACCATCAGCTATGCGGCGACAGCTTGCTGACTCGCTGCTCAAGACCATAATGA